TGAATCAAACATTGAACTCAAATCCAATAGAGTCCAATATAATAGAGTCCAATATACATTGATTACAATAGAGTCCAAATTTGATCCAGAGTCTGTCTACTGTGGATTGACCCCCCCCATACCATGATAGACAACTATTGACTATTGCTGATATGTTGTAACTGAGGATTGGTGTACTCTTTGTTGTGCCGTATATTATACTATGTACCCATTGAGCCAGGCTGGAAGCGCCTAAAGAGGGGAAGGATGCAGGCGCTGTCGTTCCACAAACTTCAAGACGGGAAGTACGATGTTTTGCCAACTTCACGGCATTGAAAGCCACAGGTCAGCCAATGGACACTTTTAGACTCCAAACATCTAGGCTTCAGAACGCTTTCTTCACGCTGAATAGCAGGTACGAATTAGACTGACTTGTAGAGGCTTGGGTTTTGCAAAGACCTGGGTTCTGTGCTGCTGAAGCGATTAGTTTACGTCGTATTTTTGCGCTTGTGTGAAAAGCTCCCAGTGAACCCATCCGCACGAATTGCAGGTGTTCGCAGCAGCGTGGCGCTGACACGCTGCCTGGTGAAGCAAATGGAGGTCGGCAGTGAGCGGTCAGTGCCCTTGCGCGAGTGAGAGCTTACACTACCCAGTCAGTGGCTAACCTTCAAGCTCAACCTTCAGTGCTTAACCTTTAAGCTCAACCTTTGAAACAAAAAACCTACTATAATTTATTACAAAGAACTTATATAGGTGAAAACAGAAGATCATTTCCTGCCATGCCTGCGGAACCTAAAACCCGAGACTTGTTTGTCATGTTGCAAACAAACACGTTTTTCCATGTTGGAGCGAGTATTTTCATGTCCGAACGAGTATTTACGGGACCGAACGGTTATTCTGCGTCCAAGCCTCAAAATGCAATATGTGGTCGCATCGGAATAGTGTACCGAAGAATCGCATATGATAAACCTCTCACACTCTTGAAGCAAGCATTTGTTTTCTTGTCGCCCCTCTCGCATCCACATCATCATCAGTTGTGCACAGTACCTTTTCAGGATCGCTGGAACAATTTTGAAGGTGCCTTCTTTGCCCTTACCAAGCCCAGGGAGCCCAGGGTTGATTCAGGAAGTCGGGTACGATACGAGTTCAATGATTGTATTAAGATAAATGTACCATATATCATGATATATATATATATGATTCAAACTGTCTCTCGTTACAACACCATTTGCATCTCACAGTAGATGCTTGGTGCTTCCACGCATTGAGCGTCTTCCTCCAATGGCAACTTGGGTGGTGCAATCTCCATTGTTTTTTTGTGATGAGACATCACCCACGATTCACCAAGCCAAGTAACCAAGAGGAAGGCACAGGAGCTTGTTCATGCTTTTACAGCTTCAGTCCGCACGCACCAGGTCCGGTGCCCCCCCGTACCCCGCCCGCCGGCGGCCGCCCTGCACAGCTCACCTGCCCGTTTCATTTCCTTCCTTCCTTCCACCGGCGAGGAGGGCGTGGAGCTGCCGGAGGCCATTTGCCAGGCGGTGAACGAGTCTCCAGAGCTTGTCAGGAGTGAACCCTCCGAGCCGAACACGTGGATGGCCCCCGGCGTGACTGGACGTTCGGTGTTCTTGAGAGGAAGAAGTAGAAGGTACAAGGATGGCTGTATATTTTGGAGGAGTCTTTGCATGTTGTTTTGACCGAATTAGTCAAGATGTTATTTCTCAATTCAGTTGACCTACTCTCCCAAAGCTCACGAGCCCCAAGGACGGCGTTGTTTCAACCTCACCACATCGGTTCCAAAAAACAGAAAGACAACAGTTCAACAATGTTCAACAGGCTCGGACGAGCCCTCCACGAATTCACCGGATACAGATCTGGTGTTTGAAACACACTCCAGCAAGTCCTGCAGTACTTTGCCCGCACGGAAGTGCTCAACACCAAAATTCAGAGTATGCATTCAGTATATGAATGAATGTGACATAATATGGTAACTTTGCACTTCAAGGTCACTGGATCATGTTCAATTCTTGGATGAAGAGAGGTCGGTGCCAGGCTGTTCCACCGTCGGTTTCACCCGATCGTGTCATGGTGAAACCGAAGTCCGGGGATTCGGTGCAATCGGCCTCGCGGCACCTGCTCAAGAGGTGTTTTCGGGCGCAGTCACTGAGCTGGGATTCGTTTCGAAGGTGGTAGGAGACAAGCTGATACCAAAAGAATACACAGATGCAAACATCATGTCATCATGTGCTTGAAGGGTCGTTTTTTGCCGAGGAGCTTTGCCTTGAGCTAGAGCAAGTTTTCATCATGTGTCCTGTCTTACAACGACGTTCAACATGTTCAGAAGGCCATGTTCAGCCCTGCAAGCCTTGCAAGTGGTTCATCGAGATCATAGTTGAACGCGCTGGCCATGCGCATTTTCGTGAATAATGTTGATGGATATGTGGCAGGCCATCCGGTGTGTGGTTTGTTCGGCTCGTTGTGATTGTTGATGGACGGAAAGCTCAATAAGCTCAGACTGAAAGCTTCAAACTCTCAGCTTTTGTGGGATTGCACCAAGAAGGCCGGCCTCCAAAGTATGGACATACTGTAATTACACACTGCAATATACTGCAATTACAGGCCTTCTGAGGCTTCGTAAGACTTGAAAGAGTTACAAGTGACAGTGACAAAGGTTGCTTCAATATTGCTTCAATCATGTTCAAGATACAACAGAAACTGCTTATATAATTCTGTGTGGGAAGGATCCTATAGTACCAAAATTCTTTGCCAAACAGATCAAGGAATCCCGAAAGCAATATGTGTATATATATAATTATATATACACAGGCTTGCCATTCAGAAAACAGCCATTCAGTTGACATCTCCTGGTGAAGCAACTCTTGTCGACATTCTCAAGTTCTCCCGTTCGTCAGCTCGAGACCCCCACTCCCCCGCGTCCTCGGACCCAGGCGCGATTTGTGCCGACCTGGTCAAGGTCTCGAAAAATATCGCGACTTGGCCTCCGGATCGCGACGTCGATGAAGACCGGACCGGACCCGATCACCCCTGTGACCGCCCCACCCTGTGACCGTCTGTGAAGAAACACGGCCGTTGGGCCCCTTTATGTTGCGCGAGATAAAGCGAATCCGAGTTGTTTTTTGGAGATTTTTTAGAAGACAAACATCTCAGGATGGTTTTGTATTGGTTTTGTATAAAGCAGTTGGCATCTTGAAAGCTTCAGGATTTGGTACATATTTAGGCACAACCATCGGGCTTCTTCGGGCTGGGCAACACTCAAAATGAGTATACAAGTCAAGGTTCCAGCCTAAGATTTGAGTGCAAAAAGCTCGATCTATCCTGGTTCCAGAGTATATAGTTGCACTTCGAAGATCTTGGACATCTCCATCCACCTTAGACTATAGAACAATCATGAAGAACATATGTTGTGACTCTTACAGCACACCTCCTACCACTTTGTGTGTTCAACCAAGAGCCCTGTCCGAACTCACCGGGGTGAAGCCGGTGAAGGCCGGTGTCACGACATTGGTCCTTCTTCGGTCCAGCGAGTGATGAGGTCGGGACCCGAAAGTGCATCCGTGATGAGTTGGTGCCACCCATGGTGAAGCGCATCGTGCCAGGGCGCCCCAGAAAGGAAAAAGCGCGGGGATCAGGGAGACGTGCAGTATACACAGATATGTAAAGATTTTTAGACAATGATCATGTCATGGAGCCACATATATATATATATATAGCGGACATATTCTTGACCTAGATTTTCTTAGAGATAGTTATATATAAGCATTTCCTCGCATTATTTGGTTGGATGTAACTAGATGATATATTGGATAATTGGATATCACTAGAAACAATAGATCATCAGACACTGTGACAGGGTCAGCACAGACCTGCTTGGAGAGGCTTCTGGTTGATACCAAAAGCATCAAAGATTGTCATAGTGTCATAGTGAGGCCTTTCGAAGCTCCATTTGGACATGCAAAGGAGTTAACCCAAGTGATCCTTGGGAAAGTCAGTGATTCAGCACCTTTGCTTTTGCACATGATCCTTGTACCTGCCTGCAGGTCCCTATAGGACCTAGGATTGACACCGCATCTTACTTGCGCGTCAAGCTTGGCCGCACATCAAGACAAAAGATTCGGCGTTGAACAGCTGAAGGCTTCCTTAAGGGAGCAAGTTCAGCAAGCACAGGGTGAATGCTCAGCAATAGGTGAAGTCCTCAGGATACTCCTGAAATGCAATGGCCCACTCACGTTCCCCGCTCCATACCCCATTGTGGATGGCGCAGTGTGTGCAACTTGACACTTCTTAAGTTCATTTGGGTGGGTGCGTCATGGAATCATCATGTTAGTTATATGGTATCTTTGCAGTAATTCGGTTCCTCATTTGGGGTGTGGGTCTCAGTCGCACCAAGTTGTCCGCATGGTAGAAAAAAAGAAGCAACAAGTCCGCATGTTTGGGAGGCCATGTTCCTCTTGAGGGGACTAAACTCCCCCAATTTCATTTGGTACGGCCGGTCTGCTGGTGCGGGAGTCCCGCACTCTTCCCGGGTTGCCCCCGGTGCCCAACCGGGGCAAGCGGTCACTCGTCACTCTCCTAGAGTCGGCTTTTCTGGTTCAGAGATCTTTGTGTGGAGCCAGAGCAGCAAGAGAAGCCCGGACGCAGCAAAGAAGCCAAGCAAAGCCAAGCACGGACGCAGCGTGTCAACAAGAAATCATGAAAACAAGAGACGCCCCATGAACATGGCAGAAGTTGAGGCCACAGATGCCAAGGGCACGAGAGCTGTTTGAAGAACTGGCATATACTGCAAGGCATCTGTTTGCCGGAGTTTGTACAGATATTAACATGATGTATCGGACTCGGGGCGTCACTTCTTCAGAGACACAGACAGGGCTAAAAAAGTACAGGACCTCTCCTTTGCCTCTACCTGCCTTGAATTACAACGTCTATATAGAAGTGACATGTTGCAAGACAACCCACACGTGATCACTTCTTTTTCTCACCAGGTGTGCTATAAGTCTCCCCGATTGTTTCGAAGCATTCACCAAGCAGCTACAGCTCTCCAGTTAGCTCCGATGGAGAACGAAACCGAGGATGAGAAGGCGCTGTCACTGAGTGAGAAGCATCAATCTGCTTCCACTCATTTCCACAGAATCATTTTTTTTGTCAGATGATTCAAATGTATGTCGCTTGCTTTTTCCTATTATATATCGATGTCCATTTTAGCTTAGCAGTTTTGTTTAATTCATAATCGGATTCCTCGAGAATGCAAACTACACCTGAGTTGGTTAGCATAGAATGCCGTCCAACTGAGATGAACGCTTGGACAACCCAGGTGGACAAATTGACTCTGACACACCTCTAATTAAAGGGAGCACACCAGTTCTCCAGTTTGCTTCGTAAAGATCCCCAAACTGACTAGCTCACACCCCTACCTGAGACTATTAGAGGTACCTCTTCAGAGATTCAGCCACTCTTCCTGATACAGAAACAGAGAAAAAGAAGCGCCCAGACGATGCGCTCGAAACAGGTCGATCTCCAAGGCGCCTCGGACCGGGCAGCCACCTTGCTGGGTGCCGTGAACACCCGCGGCCGTTATCACAAGCCGGAGGCTGATGACCAGACGTGCGAAACGTGCGCGAAACGTGCGCGAAACGCGCGCGACCACCGACGTGAAACATGACGAGGTGCGCAAAAAGCAAACGAGTGCGGTGTTTGGATTGTGGTCCAAAGCCGGGTCGTTGGTGCAGAAGTTCGTGACCTATAGGGCCAACGGCGGGATCGGGGGTATTGAGCGAGGGTCCGGTGGAGGAAGATTGAGGTTCAATTCTCTTGGACGCCTGGATAGTGTGCTTATCCTCCTTGTGATTGTGCATCCTTGTGCATGCTTTTGGATGGGAAAGTGCTGGCCTGCCCAGAGGAATGAAGCCGGTTCCAGATCTTGGACAGCTGGACGAACTCTCCCCCGGTGACCATGGACCATGTGGACTAGCTGGCAGTTGTTGGACACCTCGACCAGCTCGGGCTATGGACTTGGACTCCGGGTTCTCCCGATGTTCCAAGATCTGCTGCTTCTCTTGCAGGAACGGATTTTGGAGCAGGACTATCAGGTGCGAGTGAGTGGTGGCCCGGGCAAGGCAACGGGACATGTTTTCTGAGCAACGGGACATGTTTTCTGAGTATGGAACAAGCGTTCGTTCAGATAAAACATGATTAAGGCAGTTGGATTGGAAAGAAGTGATGCGGAATGAGTGCGTTTTTTCGTTCGTGACTCCACTCGAGCAATCAATCCACAGCAAAAGCAAAGCCCTTGGATGAGTGGAACAACTTCTCCATCGGTACTCCTAAGGTTACCGGTGGATGTTGGGGACCAGGAACGTCATGGGGACCAGCTCCAGTCATTTCAGGAGCTGATGTACGAAAGCGCAAGATGGAACTGAAAAGAGGAGACGTCATGTCAGTGTCAAGGGCGACTCCGTTTGAGGTACCCGGTCTCTCTCCATTCTCAGCCTCGTTTGAAAGAGGACACGGCACCGGTCGGAGTTTCTAGACTGAGAACGGTGTGATTTTGGACATTTCCTAACAGATCAACCCAGAATTGTATGTTAGGTGTCCGTATTTCTGTGCTGGAATTCTGGAGCCTCAAAAAAAACAATACAAACGTCAACCCACCCAAACTGAACACAACACTATAGAACACGTACTACATATTAGACTATAGACTATAACCTTGTCTTCAGACCAAGACCAGGTTTGACCCTCCATTAAAACAAAAAAAAACTTGATTATTTGAGACATATGACATATATAGTTACACATATATACCCAGAAGTAAAGAACAACCTCTTTCATTCCACCCCTGGGCTGCCGCAGTTGGATCGTGCCCACGTGCTGGGCAGTGGCGCCAACGGTGCAGCCGGGAAGCCCGCCTGGCGGACGCGGGCGGGATTTGCTGCCTGGGGGCAGGGTATCACCTGTTTGGGTGTGTCCATTCTTACCACAGTCAGTAAACGAGCAAGTAATCCCTTTTAAACAAGGCCTTTACAAACCCAACCATCATCATCCACTGTTACAGGTAATAGGATAGACCCAAATGATTGTTGATTTTCTCCCATGAGTGAAAAGACTACCATCCGCCTCTGCACTGTCGAACGGACAAATCAAAGAGTTGCACCATGGGCAATCGAAAATGGACAAGTCAAACCATAAGTGAATCCCCATGGGGAAGATTCCCTACATCCCTATACATCCCTACATATTCAATCACCCTACATCCCTATACATCCCAATACATCCGAGCTGGTCTGCGGTTTGGAGGGTCGACTCTGGGGCTCGGCAACTCCGGTCATCCGGTCAACCCTCAGACGGATGGCAAGCTGGAAGACTGTTGTCCACAAAGCAGTGGTTGTCAGGGTCCATGTTAGTCTTCGCCGACGTAATCATAAGAGCTCACAGAGTGGTGTCGAGAAAGGTGGCTCAGTTCGTGCTGAAAAGCGCCAGTCATAATGGGTATACTTTCACAATGTTTAAGCCATTCGGATCGTGAAGAAAGTATCCTGGAAGCAAAAGCACGGTTCAATCATTGATTCATATTAATTATACTAGTAGTATGGATTCTATAAGTTTCTCAGAGTATAGCCAGAGCACATCTCAGACGACCATTCTTCTCATCATAATATCATCGGAACAAATTCATAACCCAACTATGAACCAACTATGAACCAAAGCAATCTTGTCGTTCTGAGATTCAGCCGGAACTCACCCAGAATTTACCACCCTTCACCCATCACCGTCACCCGGAACCGGGACGATTTCGACCGTCAGGTTTGGCTCGTGAAGTGCAAGCGCACGGGACGTTCCTTCGCCGCCAAGTCACTGGGCCAAGTCGCTGCGTGGGACGGGATGTGGTTCAGCTTGGTACTCATACATGCACTTGGTACTTAGTGTATGTGCTGTGTATACTGATGTATACTGTATAATCTGTATATATATATATATATATCAACGCGTCCTCAAACAAGGCAGGGATTGAGATCAAAGGTCAATTCGTTGGTTTTGGTGCCATGTTTGGTTTACTGAAGACCCAAATTGACCTAACTCTTGCAAATGGTCACTAGGATGAAGACAAAGACTTTCTCCCACGGTCATTTTTTGGGAACACCTTCAGCGGGTCGTGGAAGATCATCTTTTATCGGAACATGTGCGACCTGTTTGGGATGATGTGTACTTTGATAACTACCAGGACCATCCTGTCTGGGTGTCCTGTCTGGAGATCCCGGGTCGTAGTGTAGAGTAGTCCAGCCAGGACACCCAGACAGGATGGTCCAGGTAGGAGAGCTGGGGTATGTAGGCACCCGGCTTTATATTCCAGCTATTTCAGATGTTCATGCAATGTGTCAGGTATAGGACACGACTGAAATGACCTGAGCTGCCACCTGACCCTGGCACCTATCATGCAGTGGTTTCTTGGATGTTTCGTTCCAACTCTTGAATGAAGGGTGAGTATGGAATCTGGTAGCTTGCAGATGCATTGAAATTGGCCCCAAGAATTGCTGAGTGACCTTTTCATTGATGATTTTGATTAACATCACCTCTCAGAATGAAGTACCTCCCATTTGCACACTTCAGGGAGCGGTTGAGAGGTGAAGTTCCGAGGATACCTGTGTCCATCCACACACCTGGTGGGTCTCAAAGCGTCCCCCAAGTTGGAAAAAATAGACAGGAACTGGATGGAACTGGTAAATTTGAATCTTCAAGTTAACATATTCATAAGTTGGAAACTGCACATGTACAATTGAGTCCACGACTGACCCAGGACCTACAATCTCCCTGGCATCTCTGAGCTAAAGTGTCCGGTTTCCAAGCAAACTTGGCGTGCAGGAGCACCCAAACAATCGACCAGGTCAGGGGATGCACTCTGGAAACTTAGTGAAGGGGGGCCTTCATGGTTCGTGGTGCCCCTGAGATGAAAGCCAAATGCTTCCATAGACGTAGGACCTCGGCCATATTACAGGTATTTCCTTTGTTGCGCACTGGATTTACTGGATGTCTTTCGTGTTTGTGGGTTTGTATGGTTTTGTTTATGTTAAAGTGACGTGCTTTGCAGAACGGTGAGATGCAGCTGCTGCTGGTTGCCCGACCGTCCATGACATCGCCCTGTCCCGTCCATGAGCTCGCCAGGAGTGCGTCTGGTCGCGCGCAGAGTCTCAACAAAATCCGAGGTGTTATGTGGAAAGGGACTTGCACAGGACTTAGACACCAAAAAACAAGAAAAAAACATACAACTACCCCAAAAAAGCACCCACGTGCCATACATTGGCACCATCACTGAGGTAAGGAGATTGAGACCGAGGTCGAAATCCTTCTGACGGTGGACCATCCGTACTTTGGGCCGCATGATGTTCGCGGGGGACCATCCTCGACTTAATCACCTGAAAGAGGCCCCCTGAAACCTGCAGTACCCTACAAAGCATCGAAGGTTGACCTCCCGAACATAGAGGAATTTGTTCACCAAGGTCCCCCGGTTTTGACTCACAGCCGCTTGTGTCGACATATTTTGCTTATTATGTTTATGTGGTTTCCTTTGGGATGCGAGTCGAACACAAAACAGACGTTTAGTTGCCCTTCTTGTGATCACACAGCCAACTTGGAACGTGAGAACTTGCAATTCTCTTGCACCAGGGCCACCAGGGACATGATGTGGACATTGCCCAGTGCCAACAGACCGTAGCAGGATACCTCAGCATGATCCCAAATTGGAGAGTTCACCCAAAAGGTGCCAGCCCCCTCATCGCGTCCGTCCACTCCAAAATAAAGTTGCGTGTGTGTGTGTGTGTGTGTGTCGTAAGCCTGGAGTACTGCTAGAAACACATAGAAACACACCACGGGTCCGTGGTCTTTATGTGATCCCCAATTATGCCAAAGACCACACCTTTTCGACGGCTTGGTGCTCGCCGGGGTGGGGGGGCTGACCGACCATGGACCTAGACGCGCTTCGTGGGCGGGAGACGCCGGGAACGACCAAGGAATCTCGCACGCATGGTGGATGCCTATGAATCGAAGGTCAGACGGGGGGACCCCCCCGTCGATGTGCCAAGCAGAACACAAAACAACACAGTTTTCAGATGATACGTAGCTTAGTCAGCTATGGATGCTATAGGTGAGGCAGTATCAACCATGCAGGCTGTGTTTCACACCCAAAAGCTTGAGTATCTTGCCACAGACCTCGAAATTGGGCGCGCCCGATTCTACGCGAACGAAGACTGGGCTTCTTCTGCGCTCTGAATGCCCTCTTTGCAGGATACTTTGACCCTCATCATGGAGCTCCTAGAAGGTGGTGAACTCTTTGATCGTATCATCTCCCTAGGCGCCCCGGCTCGCCGCGCAACCCGCACCGCGTGAACGCGCACGCGTTAGGCGGGGAGGCGTGTTTTGGCTTGGGCGGGCGTGGGTGGGCATGTGGCGCCAGGCCAAACGTTGGCACGAGGTTGGCAAATTCTGCGCAGGAGCCCAAAGGGCTTGTTTGTTATAAGTTATAAGGGTGTACTGTACCATCCGTGTTGAATGGACTGGACAGTCCCTGTAAGTTTTACAGGCCCTGTACAGCAGGCCCTGCAACTTACCGTGATAATTCATAATACTTCCAAATTTTAAAGGTGGCAGGGGAATTTGATGGAGACTTCGATGATCTTCCATGTTTTGCTTTCACCGTGTGGTTTCGAACCACCGCCCCCCCCCACCCTTCTCGGCTCAAGCGCCATGCGTGACGCCGCCCACATGGAACTGCGGCGGACGCCTGCGTTGCCCATCTTCGCAGCACTTCCACAGCTGGGCAGCCCGCCGTCGGTGTCTGAGTCTGCGAATCCGCCACAGTGGCCGACGGACATCGAGCTGCCTGGCGTGAGTGCTGCGAGTGCTGGGAATGGTGGGGCGATCCCACTACCGCAGCATGAGCCTCCAAGGTTAGAGGCACGGCATGGTTTGTTCTTGAGAATGGGTTCCGTTGATTCTGCGCGGGAGTTCGGATTGTTTCTTGCCCAGAAGGAGGATAAGGGGGTCACAGTAGTTTCCTGTTTCAACTCATTCAGTTGTAAGCTGACCCAAGATGTTTCACAAGCATAAAGCAAAGTTAAAGACAGGGCTATGTGTTGCTATCCGCATATCAACACCCCCACATCATCTCTGTGCGGTGAGAAAGAGGAACCTGTTTTGTTTGTTCGTTGACCCTCACACACCCTCACAGTTCTCTTGCAAATCTAAGTATTTGCCGCAGATGACTCCAGCACCAGTACTTGTAGGATTGAAGGACACAGGTGGGTCGACCACCCCGAGCCTTGAAACGACCCAAAGCGAGGGCCGACCCCAGCCCCCAGCCCGACACCCCGCGCGAACTCACAGACCCCCGATCATTGGGGGTGTCGGTGTGGGGGGATTCAAAAGGGCCCCCCCTTTTGGGGCTTGTCCTTGAGACTCATCCTTTTCCCACCTGGGGTGCGCCCGAAAGACTTGCTGAGCAATGCTATGCGCTCCGCACGACAGCACCAGGGCGAGGCCTTGGCTGTCAGCATCCCTGGCTGTGCTGAGGAGGGCTCCTTGGGTGTACCTTGCCATCCAAGGGAGACTGCATGTCGATTTTTTGGGGGGGTTGGGTTGTGAGGTGGCCCTGATGTGGTAGCTACCAAAATATGATGCCAGCTACATGAACCCCGTACCTGGAACATCCTGGAACCACTGAACTATCCGCGTCTCGGCTGACATGCCAACGGATACTGAACAGCTTGTTGAATATCACCTTGGTCGAGGATGAGTCGGATCCATCCAGTCCGAACCGAGAATTCGAGTGCAAGGATTCTGGAACTTATCCAGATTTGAGCTCTGGTTGAAACTCCGGATCCTCAGAGATGCAACCCTATGCATATATCTAGAATCTTTCAAGATGGTGGGCCCAGTGATGCGTTTTGAGGTGGCAGCTGTGTAATTGACTTTTGCCAGGCTGGGTATCAGCCACATCTCACACCTTGCCTTTTAAGTTTTGGTGGGTATAAAGGAGGAATGACAACGATTGCCGGTTTTTGTTTGAATCAGGAAGACGTCAGGTAGATGGACATACAGGTTCACCGCTGATGTGACCGGGAGATGGACCGGATGTCAGATGGGACCACGGAATCATCGGCACGTAGAGAGGTTGAACAGCCCTATAGCCTATAGCCCATAATACGTACTACAGGTCCTAGTTCTGGTCTCTCAACCTCTCTTGGTCTAGTTCAATCACCATGCGTCTTCCAGTTTGGGGATGTCCCAACTGCTCGGCTCAGCGGATGTCGTGTCTCTCTCGAGGCCCCTGAGATCTCACCGAGTACGTCTCAGCCTCTTGGTCGGATGGTGTCGACGACAGGAGTTGCGACGCTTCGGTGAAGGCAAGCAACACCAAGAGGCGTGACAAGTACGACTTGGATGTGGGCCATATATGGGTATATTATACATTGATGTACGATCATGTCATCCGTCCGTCGTGCCATTGAGAATTCCATAGCCATGCAACAGGATGCTGGTGTTGTGCGTGTTTGGCGTGTGCCGTTGCAGCTGGAGCACAGCTGAATCATGAAGACTGAACAGGAACATGCACAACCCAGTATGTTAGAATACACTCTCCAGAAAGCTGTGTGAAATCCAAACGTGGATCTGCTTGTTCATCGATCATCTTGACCAAATGCCGCGTTTGAGCTCACGTGTTGTTTTCCGCTCACTGGGATGAAAGGTGCCGAGAAAAAAGGGACTGGGGTAACCCTAAACCCATCTAAAGCCTAATCTCCATGAACTGCACCTTTGGAGGGTCCTGGGAATATCTTCTATGTTCATCTATGTTCCTACTTAGCAGTTTCGATATGCCAAGTGGCTTGATGCCAAGGCAGGAGATGCAGAAAGCGAGGGTCGTGGAAAACGAGGGGCGCCCATGACCGAGCCTGATTAAGCTTCAATCATGGCCGAGCCGGGGGGGTCAGGGATCATGATGACCGTTGAGATGTGATGAAGATCAACAGCTACAGATGGTGACAGCTCTTGGTAGGGCAGAAGGTTGGTTTCCAAAACAGGTGCTGGGGTTTTTTCAGACGCGATCACGATTTCAAGACATCCGGGGCGGTGAGACCTCCCAGTTCCTTGCACTTGGAAACCAACAGAGGTTGAAGGACCCTAGTTCGACTATCCCAGTTCGGTACCCCAGCAGAATCGGTCACTTAAAACCTCTCTTAGGAAAGGAAGATGCGTCAGTCCGTCAGTCCCTACCAGTCATAGGCCATGTAGACGTTCGCTTCGGCGATGGTTTTTGGTGCGCAAGCCCTTTGGGCACGGGGAGACGGGGGAGCCCTGGGGTGAACAGTCACCGGCCGAGGCGTTTGGAGACGAATGACACCGTTCGGGACCCCAATGAACACAGGCGCGCCACGGGCGGCGCGTCTTCGTCACGGCCAGGCGCATGCCACAGAACTCAAGCGTTTTTAGATTGGTTGGAGTTTGAAGTGATTAAAGTCAGGCAATTGGTGCTTGAGGTTAAACTCCCAAGTTCTTTGCAGAAATCCTCAGTTGGTGGGGGACATGCACTACAAGTGGTGTTTGATCATGTTTGATCCTCCTGCTGCGCGAGTTTCTTCGTGACTGGAGTCGTCCTTCCTTCCAGTGTCATCAGTGCCTTTGTGTCACAAGTACGTGAAAACATCTCTCGCTCACCTCAGCGCTCAAAAAAAGGCTGGCAGTTGACCCTTGGGTTTTAGATTGAAACCAGAGGCGCCTTAAACAAATAAAAGCAAGCAAACATATATTTATTGCATAAAATAACACATACATTCCATCATATAACTATAACATGTCATTGTGTATCTACTCCTTGTTTTTTGTTGCAATTGCTTAAATAGCGATTAACACGCACATTTGGCTTGTTTGTTTGTCCTGCATAATGATCCGGTTGTCCGTCATGTCTCGTCATGTCGGTGAGCCTGAAGTCGCGCCTCGCGAGCCGCGGCGAGCCGACTCGTTTCAGATGTGCCAGGTGTTCCGATGCTGCGGATGCCTCATTCGGGCTCTCGAACTTGTCCTTGCCAAGGCCTTAGTCGTTTGGGGCACCTGGCATGCACCTGGCGTGCACCTGGCGTGCACCTGGCGTGCACCTGCGTGCACCAGAGCATGAACACTCTGAGTGTAATGTCACCAAATCATTGTCTGTAGATGATGCAGCTCACTTGCTCTTCAGTTCAACCCTCCAATTCAGGAATCACTCGGAATCACTTTTAAGTCCACAACGTGCCAGAAGTCCCATCGCAGATCTCTTCCGGTCAGCAAACCTTCCACACTTTCCACACCGAACTATAGCGTTGGTGCTTCCAAGGCAGTGAAAACGGGTGCCGTGCGGTATCTATCCATATTCCCATCAAACCGGGAGCCGCTACTGTGGGATCTGCAGGGTCTTCCCCTCGCCCCGCCATCGAGGTCGCTGGACCACGAGGCCGGGACGGTGAGCGCGGCAGGGGTTTCCGACCGGGCCGAGCGCCCGCCACGTCCGGTGCCCTGGTGCGGTTTTTAGGACTTATATAGCCACCAAAGTATAGAACAGTAGATGCCCACTAAGAATGTATGAAAGGCGTTTCTATCTATTGCATCAAAAAGGTCCCACTCATCTTGAAGGGTGTCTTGGAGGACAATTTGAGGAAACCAAATTGAGAGAGTCGGCAATGCGCGCTGAGCTTTGTTGAGTATGTTGTATCCAAATCATGAGCCGCAAGCTCTAGGAGGTCCTGTAGTTGCCATGAACCACTGCAGAGAGTACTTCCAGCAGGATACAGGCAATCCCATGGAGAAAGCCATTTGTCCTTTTTTGGGGGCTTTTCGGAGTGCAAGAGCCTGCCAAACACTCGCAAGGACCTAATTTTCCTTTGTACGTCACATACTGTAAACCAGTCCTCGCTTTGGCAAGTCAGTGCACGAGAGGCTGTGATGGATTCGGAAGCTTCCATCGGTCAAAAGAGCACGACGCCTTCAATGCGGCCCACGTCGCCGCCCGTGCAGCCGATGCCCCTCGGAAGGTTAATGGGGTCGCACATGTGAGGCACTGTGTTGCCAGGTGTTCCCAGGGCTTCCCATGCTCCGCTGAACCCCAGAAGATCTTCGATGTTTTTCAAGGGCACACAACAAAACACACACACACACATTGTTTCTATTAAACACACTATGAGGACTCAATGAGGACCAGCTAAAGTAAAAGATTTGGACCATGGAGAAGACCCACCAGTAGTTTTGGGGAGCTTGACCTTACAGTGGTGCTCAAATCGCCAGGAGGAAGTGCTGCTGTTATTTTTCTCACATTCATGTATCCATTTCCGAAGTTCTTTTTGCAGAATGTAGACATCATTTGGGAGAGATCCTGGATGTGGCCCCATGACTACTTTGCGATTGCATTTGAACCTCATGAACCTGCCTTCAAAAGTCGATCTGCCAAAAAGGAGATATGCTGATAGACCAACTCTTGCTCCAGAGGGTCTCGGGTCTACTGATGTCCACTTTAACAGGTGTGTTTGTTGTTTTTCGCTCGTCCATGCTCATGCCTATTTTCTCCAGTCTCGGGTTGAGCTTCTTTCCCGTGGAAGGCCAAGCATTGTGGAGGAGCCAAAGTGCGGCTTCAAGTGGCCGCTTCGCCTAGCTTCGGGGAAAGGCAGTTTTTGACGCGCGTGGCTCCGGAGCCTCTGGGTTCGCCGCAGGCATGGTTCTGGAGCCGCAAGCGCGGAGCATCGGGATGGATCCTGTTGACAGTGATGTTGTACGTGGAGCTATGCTCAGCTGAGAGGGTGGGAGATTTCTCGATTTGGTGGGCTTTGGAGGGGCAAAGGTGGAGCTTTGGCCCAGCAGATCCACAGGTCCAAACATTTGGTGGCAAAGTGAGAGACGCGTGCAAACTATTTGGCCAATCAGCCCCAGAACAAAGGAGGATTCAGTGTATGCAAGTTATGTAATGTTGCTATAAATATCTAGTAAACAAAATTTAGTTAAACACACACAGCAAACTTATATATATATTATATATATATATATCACAGTATATATCACCAAATTGATAGAAAAGTAGATCCCCACAAAGAATGTATTGGAAACCGTGCCACTATATATCTATTTGGGGAACACCATTATCGCATATCCACTATTCAGTTCCTTTTTCAGTTAGAGGTGCTCTCATGAAACTTACCCATGCCAACAGGTTTGTGAGGAGTCATGAGGTTCGTTTGCACGTCGTTGGAGTCGCCAGATGTTCACCAGTCTCAAGAAATGCAAGGACTGAGGGATCACTCTGATTTGTGCTTGGCAGGATTGGTGGTTTTTCATGTCTTGTACTCTGCTTTCAAGCCAGCTCCAACCGTTCCCTGCCACCCGCCTTCGGTGAAAAAAGACTCGTGCAAACATCGAGAAAGATATGAAAACAACTAACAAACCTTCTTGACAAAGCCATCATCCATTCGAACTTCCGGGCTGGAATATGCGATTCATCCTGCTCTTTTGATTCTTACTCATGGAGAAAAAAAATAAGAAACTATTGCACCTATAGCGTCCTATATCCATCCCCTTTGAAATAAAGGGGGAGGGTTGACAACCGCAGTTTTGTAAGGGCTCCAGGGTTGCAGTCTACAAAAGCCCTGACCCAAGGGCATTGGGTTTGTACAAAATGACACGGGCCAGAGTGGGCTTGTACAAAACCTTTGACCCAAAAAAGGACGCTGCCGGACCGCCCCGCCTGGTCGACTGAGGAAGGCCATCGTCCCGGATCAGAACATCACTAGTACTTGGTCGTGCCTTGCCCGCGGCCTCCGTCCGTCCGGGGGACGATGGGTTTTGGATGGTTTTGATTCCTTCTTCCGGGCGGCCCTTGGGAGATCATGTGACACGATGTCGCACTTCTTCCCGTCCTGTGAATGCATGTGGAAGCCTTGAAGACCGGCATTTGTGTATGGCCACAGTCCCTCAACATGTAGAACAAGTAGAGCTGACTGTCACTTTTGACATCTCTCCTGATGCTGCGCCTCACAATCTGTGCAAAGAAGCCGATTCTTTTTGATTGATCATTATGACCTTATGTGATGTGGGCTATCAGCGGCAAAGGGCATCATAACTAAATAACATCACTACACGAAAAAGACCGCGGGAGCCAGGGGGGGTGGAATATGACCCCAAATCACTTCGGGCTGGAGAACCTCTGGAGCCTGCTATTCACAGGCAGATTTACTCAGGTTGTCCAGCCGAGGTTTTCCGTTTGGCGACCTGAGACTAACGCCCCAACTGGCGGCACGAGTGTCGGCGCATCTGAGGTCGACGAAGGTGGAGGTTTCTCGGTTTGCAGAGACGGTTGAGAATGGTCTTATAAACAAATAATTACAATAATAAAGATCACCAAAACGAAGCAGGATCCGAGAACCAACATGGTTGAACAAAGCAGTTCAAATTCTCTTTTTGTGGCCAAGCTTAACCAAGAACTCCACAGCATTTGGACAATTTTTGCCACTTTGCCCGAGGCAGATGACTCGGGGAATTTCTATTTCTTTGGTCAGCCGCTACCTCCTGGCAGAGCTTGCCGTCGCATCCTACAGGTTATTCTTACAGGACAAGTCTGACATCATTGCACCTGAAAAAAAAAGAAAACAAACAAACACAAAAAAGATGCGAACCACCAACGTTTCCAAATATCTGAACCTTGCCACACTTCTTCAGAGGCGAACCATCATATTCAGGTGTTCCGAATATTTCTGCATAGTTTTTCAGTCTTCGCTCCGGAAAGCATTTTGCCATGTGACGGTTGGAAGCGGTTTTCGTGTTCGAAGCGGTTTTCGACGAGCGACGAACCACACGGATGACATGAATCCCGTTTGGGCTCCAGTCGTACCCTCGTAGCCATTCGGTTGGACTGGGGGAGTTTGGGCTCCGGTCCACCTTTTGGTACGAGGTACGAGTCCTCGACCTGTCGAGGTGCCCGTTTCGGGGTATAACATCCCGAATCGATGGCGTGTTCTTGTCAACATGATTGATGGTCAGATATGGCACAAGAAATGTTCAGCTTCACAGCTGGAGAAAAGAGGGGTCGTCCCCTAAACCGGTGCCTTTATCTCTCGGAGTCGTAGAAATGTTCGAAACGAATCCATCCCCATCCCAACTCATGTTTTTTCTTGTCCGGGGAACGCTGGACACACGTGTGCGCCCCGAAGCACCATTTTTTCAGCTCGTTGGAGTCTAATTTTTGTTCACATGGTGTGCGCGCGTGTGCGCATGTGTGTGTGTGTGTTGATGCGTTCAGTTCTGGAAGAATCCTGGAAGATTCACAGCCGGATCTCACACGTCGTTTCAGCATGTTTCAGCGCCTGGCTACATGATGATCTCACACCGAGGGCTCGAAAAAACGCCATCAAATCACGATACGTAATAACGTCACCCGTCATGTCATGACCTGAACCAGCCAGTGCCAGAGTGGAAGTACCTCATACTGTATCTGAAATCTCCTGGCACTGGAAGATTGGAAGTAAAGCACCTGTGTAGATGGATGTCTCCTTGTGATGCCTCAGCTAGTGTTTTTTTCCTTCTCACAATTGCTTGGGCCAACCACCAGGTCACCAGACATTACTAGGGTCGTCATGGTCGTCAGATGATCAAACAAAGACTTTGCCCAGTGAAAATCTCAGATGCTTCGCAAATGCGGACCTGGTGTTTCTAGTCGTTTGATAGGTGCACATGGTGCATGCTATCAACATCGATGTCAATAATTTGCTTTGGCAACTCACAGGCCCTCCGTTCACTGCAGTTGACCTAGAAACGCAGCTTTGCAAGCTCTGGTCTTTTGTCTTGAGACTTTGCTCACAGTCATTCAATCGCAACATTATTTAGAGGAGTATGCTCTTGTTTGTTGGGAAAGAAAACATGATGAACCAGTCAGATCCAGAACATCTTTATAACAGGCTAAGTGAAATGCACGGGCACATCGTTTTCAGAAAACGATCGCACGAATCCATCCATTGGGCCAGTGCTCCGGTCGGGATCCAAGTCATCAAAGTGGGCACCGCACGGTGCTGTGGATGATCCCAGGACTTTCATCTTCCTTGATTTGTGGTGGCTTCTTCACGGTCTCTTTAGCACTCAGTGGCCTTTGGGCTGTTCCGGGGCACCGAGATGCGAGTAGTTTTTGGAGTGGCTTCATGAACAGGATGGTTTGGTCCTTGAGCCCCTGCTTCTTGGGTGCCTTCTTCCCTGGGCTCTGCAATCCCGCGACTTAGTTGGATAATGTTGGAGATGTCAAGTTGTCGTCAAGGCCGAAGAATAGTTCTTTAGAGCTCGATGTACAATGATGTACAGGGGTTTTGGGTTGTGAAATGACGGTCAACCCGTTTACGCAAGGTTTGGGTTTCTCGCTCTGGACTCAGTCGGTTGATCACAGTTCTTTGTATTCTGACCCGTGCAAAGTACGTATATACTTCCAAATTGTATAGTTTTAAATCTCTTTTTGGTGACTCAGTTTTGGATGCTCAAACCGGCGCAAGTACTCGTACTTTTCTGATTTGCCTGTGAGATCAATTTTCGCTAAGGAGACGATGGATTGGGAGAGTCATGGCTTCTTTTTGTTGGTCAGTTTGGTGCCATTCATCATTTGTGATGTTCTCTTCCCCTACCTGGTGGGCACTGATAGCCACTTCAAGATCTTCTTCTCCACTTGCTTCTGGCCCACAACCACCTGCTTGTTCTTCGTTCCCTCCATGATTGCAGGCATCCGCAGATGTCGAGGGGATCCAAAGTGGCAAGATCTTACGTCCCAAGTTTTTTACATTTGCAAGGAAGGAATGCACTTTTGGCGGGATCTCATCCTGTTGATCCTTTGCTTTCTTGCAGCCACTTGGCGCAGCAGTACCCTGACCTTCTAGTTTTGCACTAAGCCTAGCCGTCCCAAATTCTCTCAAAAGTTGAACTGGTGCCGAATTCCCATGAATCCCCTATACTGAACCAATTGACCCCCCCTTCATGACCACTTGATTCAAGCAAAGAGTCTCACCCTAGTTTCACCCTTTTTCACCCATGGACCGTCCAACCAACTCTAGGCGGTGTTGCCAGTGAACTACATCGCCCTCGACTTCGCCGTGGTCGTTCCGAGTCTCTCCGTGTCGCATCACCTCAGCGCCACCACGTGGGAAGCCGCGGACAACGGCGTGGATCTCGCGGCAGCTTTCGTTCGGCCGGTGATCTCGCTTTGTCTCTCGGTAAGATGGGGCCGGAACAGCCTGGGTGGATGGGAAGGTGTATGTTGTTGAGCAATCGTGTTGTTTCATTGAATAATACACACATGTACACACATAATTAATATATATATATATATATATATTACTATATATGTCATTAATTATCATTAGTATATATCGATATAACATATATATATATATTATAAATAGTTTCGACGCTTCGTCCCTCTCAGGTATCAAAGCAACTTGCCTAGACATCTTCAAGTTTGCGTCCAGCCGAATCAGCCCGATGCTGCACATCTACGGAATGTTCCCCCTGGCTCTCAACATCGGCTTGCACAATTCCATGGCGGCAGTGCTGTGTCAAGACTGGCCCTCCGTGGGCATTTGGATTGCCTGTGACTTCTTGGTGATCCTTTGGAGGACGCAGAGGCCAGAGTGGGGATTACACTTTGTGTTAGTTGACATTCCAACAGAGGGGATCGCAGTGGATTGGTTTGATGAAGGTTTGTTCTGTGTGAATGTTATGTACATATGTATTTATGTTAACCTCATGTTTAGCAGGTGCCTTGACCCAGGATAGCCTTTGTTTGCAGAACAAGTTCTTTGTAAAGTTTGTTTTTGATTATGTTTTTTTTGTAGCCATGAGAGACTAAAGTTTCTCAGACACCAAGAAAAGCAATGGATGTGATATATAATAGATGTCCATTGTTTAGTTCATGTTTGCAATCTTTTTATCCAACCATCACAAACATGGATGGCATGTGTCAGAAGTTGTTCCTTTCTATTTCTCGAATGGACGACTTCTTGAGCTGCAGTCGCGACTGCTCGGTGCGCGGCTCCTCAGGATCGGCGTGAGGCGAATCTTCTTCGTCGTGGAGTACCTGCCGTGGATGAGCGAGAAAGAGTTCCTCCGGCGTCGCGCGGCGGGAGAAAGACAGAAAGGTCCGGCCCTGGGTGGGAAGAGGGAGATCTCTTCTCGGAAAGAACTATTGGGTGGAAAGACCTGTGTGAGATGCCCTTTTCCTGCCCTAAAAGACCATCCCAGAAGCTGAAGAGAAAGGGTTCGTGGCAGAGTCAAGGGTCTGACGGCCTGTGTTTGATGCTTTCAGGACCAATTATTGGTGGGTGGTGTGAAAAATGGCACGGAGGGATGAAGTATTTTGTAACATGTATATACATGTATGCTTCATGGATGTAAGTGGAGCTTTTCAGAGGTTGTTTGGTTAGTTGTGGAGTCATTTTGTAACTTTTGCAGCCTAGCGCGGGTGGCATGGGCGGTCGACACGGGCTACACAACGTTGCAAAACCTTGGGACACCGGATGCAATGTTGGATGTGGGTGTATAGGAGGCCGCAGACGTTGATCATTCCCAGTTTCTTTGATATTCAATAGGAACAAGAAGCTACTATAAGGGCTCCTGGCATCGCTACTAGGAGCAAGGACGCTACTAGGGGCTCCTGGCCATACTACTATAGTAACAAGAAGCTATTAGGAACAAGGGCATCGCTATTAGGAACAATAGTTATATTTCAATGCAATTCTTGGTCGGATTCGAGGGACTCTGGAAGGACTGCCGGTGAACGACGGCCGTTCTTCTGGATATTGAACAGGTACCTGAACAGACACGAGTCGCCAAATCTTTTTAAACAGTGCCGATGTTATTGGGCTGGGCATGGTTGGGTAGCAAAACACATCAACGAAACTGAGAGGACTTGTCCCCAACCTGTCATGCTTCGACGCTTTTTTTGTGGATGCTTCGACGCTTCTATAGACAACATCGACTGCATGCCAACTATCCTGGCAGTAGGAAAGCAGTTTGAGTTGAACCACCTTGAACCCATAATTCGCATTGCAAGTCGGACTGGTGTCGGTTTTTTTCAGGGTCATGCCAAATGGCATGAACATTAAGAGAAACCACCTACAAAACCACGTTGAAAACACCACCATTCATAGGGCATAGTATTAACAAGAAGCTACTAGGGGCTCCTGGCATCGCTACTAGGAGCAAGGACGCTACTAGGAGCAAAGGGCATCGCTACTAGGAGCAAGGGCTCTATTTGTTGGCGACACATCCCAATTCAAAGGTCCACGGGTCCCAATGAGGCAGAGGCTTTGAAGCCATCGTGATGGGCTGGGGGCTGACGGCTGCTTTGTCCAGCTACTTGGATGACAAGTGATGGCGCCCTCACCCGGTTGCTGGGGGAGTCTTGGGGCAGTCATGTCCTGAGAAATATACCCCCCCCTCCAACAATCATGGAAGTGGACAGTGGTCTCCTGGAACACTATTTTCCTCTACAAACAGGGCATTGTCCACTTCCATGTTTGTTTCAGGGAGTGTATGACATCATATGACACATTTTATAAAAAAATAGCTACATAAAGAGACGACCCCGGCTTTTGAACCATCTCTTTCAGGCTCCTAACCGAGATCCCATGCGCGGTTCGCTCGTGCTCGGCAGCTCGAAAGAGCATGATCACCCAGTTCGGAGACCTGGTCGCCCGTTCGAAAGCATTGGATGTTTGAGACTGTGAAAGATGCCTGGGTAATCCTGGGTAATCCTTCCACCCCCCTCAATCCTGCTTTCACTTGCTCAGATGCTCAAGTCCAATACCTATGCGACCAAGCCACCAATAGAGTCTAATAGAGTTGGGGTGTTCGCACCAAGCTAGTATCTTGTTTCAAGCAGCTTTTGCACCTCTTGCTTCTACTCACTATAATTTGGATAGAGCCTGCGATGACTGTCGGAGAGTTCTCAATCATTGGGTGCATTTGTTATCATTTGTTGTGTCATATTTTGTTTATCTATGTCCTTGTGCGGCGACGACAAAGGGTGTTATGGCATCAAAGAAAAAGAAGAAGAAGAATCATGGGCCAACATGGATGGCATGGCCCCGACAAAAAATCCGAAGACCAAACAGCTCGTTTTATCCACTTTCATGACTATTTCAAGCGTATGAAATTGGAATAGATTTGATGTTATTAGAGCGAGTGGGGGGGTTGTCCCCAGCTCGGATGGCCAGAACACAATGGGCACAGGTGTTTTAATTTCTTCATGTTTGTTTCCAGCAGGACGGGTCATAGGATGTCATACTTGCGATACTTGCAGGGCCTGAGATGTTGCCAATCATAGCACATTTGTTGATGATTGAGGCACCTTCATCATGCACATAGTGCTCGGAGGGACCTTTGTCCTACAAATGATGACATCATCCGGTGGAGGGGCCATCAAGAAAAGCATGCCAGCAAATCCTGTTTCCCCTGGAAATGAAGCAAAAAACAGCAGAAATGAAGCCAGACCAAAAAAAAAATATGTATAATATATATATACATAGCCATAGCGGTTCTTTTCAAAAAAAAACAACAACACGCCAACAAAGCTCGTGGTCTTTCCATATTATCAGTCGGGGGGGTAGCACCGCCAGCGAACGATCAGACTGCACGGCCAAACCCACGTCGACACACGAACATATGTTGCACGAAAACATGATGCAGGATGTTTTCGAGCATTAGTAGACCACGAAAAAGGAGAAGACTAAGACATGCAATGTATATATTATATATATAATGAAGCATTATGAAACCATGCATTTGTGTCATCATTGTGTCGACATAGCCATCATCAATAAAGCATATCGTGTTTTGACACAGTCGTACATTTCAACATGTTTGTGCAAAAGGTAATACTATCTACTTTTGACAAACATGCATGTCTAATCATCGGCACATCTTGACACACATTTTTTGTCCATCCTTTATGAACAATAGTAAACTACAAGAAAAAAACAATCAATATGTCTTAAAGAAAGAACACACGTGTAGTGAATAGAACCAATACATAATACATCATAATAGTCTCTGCAGATCTCTCCAGTTTTGGAGTCTGTCTCTTTGATCCGCCTGGGTTTGTAAGAGACACAAAAGAACAGCTGCAGAGACTGGAACCAGACCTGGATTTTGATGGCACATAGTCTTTGCAGTGATGTTTTGAACAGGATTTCTGGACACGCCTTTTTTTAACACTCTCCATAAGTATGTTCTGACACAGCAAACCTGCAGAGATTAGGGAGCCGGACCTGGATGTGGAGTGCCGTAGCCTTGCAGTTTTGTTTCTTTTTTGTACACATTTGGCCGTAGCATGTTGCTTTTGACGCGTTTTTTTTAAGCTTGCAAACCCCTGGTCCTAAAACGTTGAAACTGCAAAGACTATGAGCCCTCCGTCCGAATTTGCCTCCATAGTTTTTCCTTTGTTGGATGTGCAATTTGTCAAACAGTATCAAAAAAGTGTCAACCACCTGCTGCTTTCCAAAAACTATGCACCGGTTTCTATGCAGAACGCTTTCCTGTTTATTTTGAAGGCACGGTATTTTAAAGGACCCAAGTAGCTTGCACCTGCATCTATGTAAAGTGTTTTCTTGCACATGGTTGCACGTTTGTTAGTCAAGAGCATTCGTTCTATCTGAAAGTTTCAGCTTGTTGAAACTCCTTTGTAATGTATACATTAAAACACATTTTTTGGAGGCATGTGTCTTGTTGAGAAGAACATGTGTTGTGACACATGTGTGTGTAGTTTCTTTTGCATGCAAATCGGCCCCACATCAAAACACACATCACCAGTGCTAAAACTGTATTAAACAATGCAGCCGAAGAACGGTATTTATTTAGATGTCATTCTGCAGACGAGATGACCTTTTACACAGAAGAAGGCTATACTAAAGTGGTTATTTGGACAAGGCCTGTACAGAAAGGATAAACGGACAAAGCAAGGTTTTAGAAGTACAACATCTCTTCAATTGATGGAACAAAGGCTATAGGATAGGGACACATAATACAAAGGAGAGCATATTCATGAAGAGTACTACTGCTCCACAACAAGTTCCACATCCTGTTAGTGCACACTCAAGTATCAAGTAAGATTGCATCTAATTACAAAGGTTGCAACAACTCAACCCCCCCGTGGGCCCCATAGCCCATGACGTTTGGATATCAACTACCACATGACGTTTGTCACGATGTGTCAGACCTGCTTTCCGGGCTCGTCTCTAGTGGGGCGTCCTGCTCCTCTCGTATCTAGTGCTCATGTTGATGTCGGAAAACCAGCGGTTTGGAACCAAAGTTGCTCACCCGGTCTTCGAACAGCTTGAGTCAAGCTCGACTTGACGTTGGTTTGTCGATTGATCTGGATGTTGGAAGGATGGTGAACTCGAAGAATCTGGAATCCACCATGGAACGTGCTCTAAAGGTCAACATGTGGTCATCGAAAGGTCAACACCTCGGTCCAAGAGATCTTGGCTTCCAACTGCATCGATGTTTGCCTTCCACACGTCCTTTGCTGCGCCAGCTGAGGCTTAGTGATGTTTAGCCCAGTCGCATGGGTCTTACCACCGATGCTCAAGAAGTTCCTCTTTCCGCAAGGAATGACCAGCGTTCTCTATTTATGTGCTGTTTGCGGCGCTGACATTCTTGCAGATGTCCTCTCCTTGACCTACCTGACGCATGCATGCAAATGCCTCTTGGAAGACACTGAAGCGAAAGGAGCATTTGTTTAGGGGGATAACCGGTATATAGTCGTCATCCAAAGCTGTAGATTTATTTGCAACAATCTAAACTTTTGGCTAGTTGCAAAATCTTCCATGTGCTTTGATGAACCTGATACAGACAAGAAAGAAGACACCCTAGTGAAACTGTGTATCTTCACTTGAGAAACATCTAGGTTCCCTGCTTCTGCCCCTTTTCCGAGCCACTCTACAAGCAGTGTGAGACATCGTTTCTTCCGTGGCGCAACACTCCTGCGCTCTCAGGTGATTTTGGCAGCATTTTGTCACATCCATTCTCGAAGACCCTTCGTTGTGCATATCTCTCTGCACTCACCGTGGCTGGGTGCTGAATTGACATACCCTCCATTCAACAAACATGGAAGTGGAACATGGCCCCTTGGATGACCAATTTCCTCTACAAACAGGGGCTTTTTCACTTCCATGTTAGTGAGTCGGAGTGTACGGGTTATTTGTTCCATCCCTATTTGGCTGCTGGTTTGGAATCCCTGTTGGCGATCCGCATTGCAGGCGAAAAAACAAGGGAGGACTATTGTATTTTGTCGGGAAACTTTTTGTGTTGCTTTTAAGGAGTTGTTGGTTGGATCTGCTTCTTGTTGCTTTTCTGGCTGTTCGTTGTTTCTCTATGATTTCTCCTGCTTTGCTTGCCTTTTTTGTGTTTGTCTGGCTTTTCCTGCTTTTTGTTGTGCCATTTTTGCTTTTCCTCGCTTTTGCTTGCTTTCCATTGCTTCTCTGTGGTTGCTCCTGCTTTTCTTGCTCTTCCTGCTTTTTGTGCTTGTTTTGCTTTTCCTTGCCTTTTCATTGGTGATTTCTCCTGCTGTTCTTTCTGTTCGTGCTTCTTTTGCGCTTGTCTTGCACTTCCTAACTTTTCTCCTGCTTTTCTCTACTTTCCTGCTTCTTGTCCTCTTGTGGCGTATTGGTTCCCTGATTTGATTGCTTTTGCTATCTATGGCCTTTGTTGCCGTTTCTTTTTATTAGTTGCTTTATTCTTGCTTTTCTGGCCTTCTACACTTGTTCTATTCTTATTTTTAATTTTCTAATCTTACTGGTTGTGGTGTTTTGTTTCACCCCAAGGGACAACCCAAGTGCATCATATGAACAGAACTCTTTCATTCCTTACTCCCTTCTTGATTGTGATACGCTTCCCTCATGTTTGTTCTCCCTGCGGCCGGAGTTTTTGTTTTTTGCCGTGTGGTCCAGTTGGTTCGTATCTTTTGGCACGCAGGCCCTGGTGCCCTGAAATAATGATGGACATTGAAAATGGCCTCCTGGACACTTGTTTCTTCTACAAACAGCTAGCTTTCCACTTCGACAGATGGAGGAACGCACAAAACAATCACCAAATGCACCGCAACAAAAAACACAAAAGAAAACACACCCAAAACAAGAAATAGCAAGATGCTTTTTTGAAACACCAAGCGCACCAAGGTCGTTTGGGCACCCTGTGCGCTGGGATGCTTTGGCTGGGTCTTTCAGCATATGTGTGTTGCTGCATTTGAGGCCAGCTGTGCCTCAGCTTAGTGGAGATAGCTTGTCCTGGCGCCCTGCCCACGAGTGGGAAAGCTACATGGATCACTAGATGTTAGAGGCCTTCGCCAGGCCTATGGAGAAGTCCCTTGCGCATTTGGGATTGTTTGGACGGTCATGTGAACATGGGACCAATCTCGAGCTCCGAGCAACAAGAGCCGCAGGTTTTAGCCAGCAGCTATAGGAGTCTAATTGCATATTTCGGGAAATGCATTAACAAACACATCATCACCCACCATTGCCATGAAATGGATTGTTGTTGTCCACCCAATTTGAACTGGTTCTTCATGGTGGAGGTAGCAGGATTTTGTTCCTGCACCGTTCAGCTGCTTCCCAACGGCCCAACGGCGCCAGAGTCAGCCCCGAGCGGCCAGTGTTTCTTGTTTGTTCAACGAGCGGATTCCCCACCATTGGACCGCCGCCCATTTTTGAAGTGTCTCAAGAGTCTGAGTTGGTTGCTAAGGTGCTACAACGAAAATGCCTTCAAAAAGTAAAGAGGATGAGATTGTCCTAGTAAACTCCTAGTAAAGTGTTCCCCACTGGAACTGGAACAAGAATGTAGAACTGCTCCAAGCACCAGGGGCACCGAAGAAGAGAGAGTCTTCTAATCGAACTGATAGCTCCGTGAACCGAAGAAGAAGTGAGAACGGAAGCCCGGGGACCCATGAGTTCGAACGCATCAAATCCATATGATGTGATTGATATGTTTCGGTTTTCTGGCTTAGATGTCTTTTCTTCAAGCCTTCTCCACTGCAACAACATGTAGATACATGTAGTATATGATTGTATATAATTATCCATTGACTTCAGAACAATGTTCTGGCGGAGAAGGCTGTGCGAACAGCACAACGTTCCTGTTATGATTGTGCTTAGGCGCCTGATGTTTGTTCACAGTGAGGAAAGGCAGCGAACTCAGGCATCACTGCAGTCAATGCGAAGTGGCCACCACTTATCATCGGACAGCACTCAGTTCAGAAGTGTTGATACATGTGTGAATGCATGCATTTTAAATGAAACGTTGTCTTTAAACCAATGTCTTTAAACCAATCAACATATCTCGTGTGGTCCCAGCACTTGCAAGGAACTTCCTCTTTTGTGTTCGTGAATTCACCCAAACTTGCGACTCTACGGGGGGGAACGGTGTTGTTACTTCACTCCCTTTCGAACGGTGTTGTCCTTTCCATGGCAGCCGAAACTTCCCCGGCCCGCGCGGAAGCAGACGGCCCGTGTAACAGCAGCAGATGGCCAGAGGGGAGATGTTGGATGATGTTGGTGTGTTGATTCAATGCGACACACACCTTTTTTAAAGTATATTAGTGCTACTGCATGTTAATGTTCTTTTTTGGGTTTATTCTGCTTTGGCGTGCAATTTGTCTTTGATTATTTGGCTTGCTTGATGGTTCTTTTTGCTTGTTGCATCATTGCTTTGCTTTTGTGACCGTTATGTTGCCAAATGTTCTTCACTTCTTTTTTTGTGTGTGTGCCCCGTTTTTTTTTGTGTTATTTGCTAGTGACCTGCTAGTGCTTCTGCCTTTTTTGCCTATTGCGTTTATTTTCTGTCGCTTCCCTGGTTATTTGCTTTTGTTTTGCGTTTGCTGCTTGTTCGCATGTCATTACTGTACATGTTTGCTTCCTGCCTGCCTTTCTTGGACTTGCTTTGACACGGCTCTACGTTGCTTTTACAATACGGTCTTTGTCATTTTCATGACGCTAGCTTTTGCATTGGGTTCTGTCCACTTCTATACGTGTGTTCCTTGCTTTTTGATCCTCACCTCACCTCTATTGTTTTCCTTATTTTGCGCAGCAAGCACTCAGAAAGCAGGAGCCATGCAAGCAAGGAGGGCTGGAGGGAGGGAGGATGGAAGGAAGGACGAAATGAAGAATTATGAAAGAATGGAAGAAGGAACAAAGGGAAGGAAGGAAGGACGGAAGGAAGGAAGGAAGGAATGACTAGTTGCTGGTGTCCTTGGTTAGTTTGCTTTTGGGGGGATGCCCTGCCCCCCCCCAGCCCTTTGTTGAGTCCGATCAGGCTCTTCGAAGCTAACTAACTGAAGCTGGAACCAACCATGGCCCACTGCATGCAAGCAAGCAACCCAGATCCAAGCAGGGAAGCAATTCAGTAACGCTAGATACTGCAAATACAAGCGATCATCACGATCATCGACCTTTTTTTGCAAAGAAGACTGCTGCACAAATCTCCACCCACAGACGCCCAGAAAATATTATGGTCTAGATTCTAGATTGCTTGGGGTAGCAACTCCGAGTAGATCTACATATCCGTATCGGTGATGGGGCATTTCTCAGGGTGGCTTTGTGGGTGGATCCAGAGGGAGCTTGATTGCATATACATATATATATATATAGCATATATATATATACCATATATCTGTGTGATGTGAGAGGCTGCTTCCAGTAGGTGTTTTGTTGAAATCAATCCGCATTGCACAAACCATCAAGATCTACAACAATCAGTTTGCGGCTATGACAGGGAGGTCTTGCAATTCACATCTACAGAAGTGCTCCTCTTTACACGAGCAATCTGCTCGCCCGCAGATAATGAATGGAATGACAAAAAAGGGAACCATGCGGAAGTGCATCAAATCGCTGACTCTGGAGAAGGGCAGCTCCCTATGTATGGCAGGGTTGCTCTTTGAATCAATGGGAAACTAAGCCTGGAGTGGAAAGAAATTTTCAGTGTCGAAGGTTTGTAATTAGACAACAAATTGGTCATACTGGTCTGATTTGTGATAAGCCGTGCTTACATTCTTCACGGCCAGATTCAGCGATTGTTCGTTTCTTGGAGCTCTTCCGTATGCTCCCTCGCTAGCAAGTACTAGTGAGTCGAGGTTTTCTGTACAATGCTGTACACCATTTGCTGACAACGCTTGCCTGCGGTTTCTTACACACACTTCCGCTAGCGCCTGCGTTGCAGCGTTCTAGAAGCCAGGTTGTTTCTATGTTTACTGTATTTTGATAACGCACTTGGATCGACGGACGGATCAAGCCACTATGGATTGACCATGTATATATGCTAAAAATATCTACCCAACTCTAATCACCCAATATCACCCGATGAGTTTTGGTATCAAACCACCTGGGTTGTGTGGGCTTAAAGTCAGGGTCTGATGTGATACTGCAAAAGAGTTTGTTCGGACATGAATTAAACAGATACAGCCGTTTTCGTTTTCTTCAGTCAATGGGGAGCCAAGAATCGTTGGCGACGTCCAGATGTATCGTTTAGACGGTAGCTAGCTTTTCTCGTGTCGTGTGGAGGCTATCACCTGGAAATTCTCCCCAAAAATGACTGGGCATCCGAGGTTAAGTGACGACAATGTCTAACCCTTCCAACCAAAAAGACAGCATGACTGTCAACTCCGAAGAACTCATGTTACATATATATATATATACTATTTAGAGAGGTTTCTCCTGCTTTCAAGTTTTCTGCGTGAAAGAATAGTCGACTCACACTATAGTGCCAGCTATGGAGGTGTCTTTCCCACCTGGATATCCATATGATTGGATCCACCATGATCCGCCGCATGTGTTGGGCCTGTCCAAACTTGGTTTTGCTTATAGACTTACTGTTTTATAGCTAGTAGTAACAAGCTAGTAGTAACAGGTGCCTTACTAGTAGTAACAAGAAGCTATTAGAAACAAGAAGCTTTATTTTGCCAAACCGGGATGAATGCCACCAGTTTTTGTATCAGCAGCAAATCCAAACGACAGCAGCTATCCAAGCAAGGATGGATGGACCGCAGGAGCAGATCTAGATTGGACCGGTTCTCAAATGAGTATTCTATAGAAGAGGGACCCTCCAGTCAGGGGCTCTGTTTTCTTTTCTCTTATCACCTATTTGACCAGCAATTTTTTTGGGGTCACTCTAATACCCAAATGATACAAGTCGTCTTACCTGGCTTTGATTTGGTCTTTCTAGTGAAGACCGCGTTGAGACCAGACCAGCAGTTTCACCAGCGAATTTTGGTCCCGGACCTGGGGGCTGGAGAAGCCAGGCTGAGGCTAGCTTTTCCAAGAAGTGGGGATTATATACATATATATCATTTGGGTTTGTCCTATTACCTGTAACAGTCAGTAAACAATTATTACAGTTTTTGAACAAGGCCTGTACTTACCATCATCATCCACTGTTACAGGTAATAATAGGATGGACCCCATATATCATGATATCCCATGGGAATGGGATTACCACCAGCTCAACCTATCCCAGCTCGACCATGAACCACACCGACACCTGCATTGTAAAGAACAAGTCTTCCAGGCCTTTCAGGTATCGATTTTCAGTCATGATCTTAGGGTTCAATGATCTCAGTCACCGGGGAATCTGGAAGACTTCCGTTGGGATCGACATGCCCGGGGGGGTGGTGGCTCCATCAATCGCTAATACGTGTGGTGGCTTCAAAAAATGGCTGATGTTTGAGATTTGATTCTTTTAGTTGAGTGCACTCAAATATGTTCCTGAGCTGATTCTTGCAGTTGCTTTTCTTGCTGGACTTTGTCGAATTGACAAGCTTTTTGAAGAGGCCAAAATGTGCACAAAAAATCACAAAAAAAAGGTAAGCTTGCGACCTTGCTGGCTTGTGGATGCCTTGATCACTTTCTCCAATTTGCGGCCCACCGAATCACAAAATTCAAACCAATCACGTCTAGTCATGCAACAATGAGCGGTATCAGGCATGATCTATCATCCCCAAATACCATCTGAGTCGCTTCCCTCGGTCTTCGTCGCTTGCGCTTGTCCGTCGCAACGTCCAACCTTTGTCGCAACCTTCGACCAGCAGAGCAGAGCCTTCACCAAATCCTCAAGGGTTGCAATCAAGGCTCCCTTTGACTTTGACACCTGTACGCTGGCGCCAATTCCATATCAGCTGCCGCGAAAAACGCGACGAACGGCCAACAACGCGTGTTGGGCTTGGAGAAAACTGCAGCAGAACTGGGGCGGAACCCACCGTGCTCCGCCGGATTCGTGATTGAAATGAATGTCCCATCCCAGACCATCCATGGGACTGGAATAGTGACTTGCTTGGACGGATAATTTTCATGGGATAAAATCTGGTAAGGATTTCATAGCTCCATGCTATTCCAACATGTTTTGGGGATGGAACAAGCTGAATTAGTACTGCACCTCTTCCAGTCCCATTGGATGGGGGTCGCATCAGTCCTCTCAGGTCATCTGGACAGGCGTCTCACCAGGCCGAAGACTTCGCGAAACGTACGCCGTGCACGCCGTGCGCGGCCACCAGCACCTTCTCTGGGCCAAAAGGTCATCACCATGGATCCTTCCCTGGATCGGAGAAGAAACCATATTTGCATCCAGCTTTGAAGGCTCATGACCCTGCGCAGGGTCATGCTCTGTTTTGAACGTCGCTGCCCCATCCTTGCACGTCGGCGCAGGCTGCGCACGTCGCCGGCGAAAAGCCGTTTGTTGTTGGGCGCGAAAGAACCTATGGAGCTCGGATTGGTCGAACATCGATTGGTTGTTCCTTCATGTGTGAAAAATCATAAGCTTCAGGTGAACGCTTGTCGCTGCCAGGTCCGGCGTCGGTCCATTCAACAAATCCCAGAGCACCCCCCTGAGTGCGTGTGTTTTAAAACATCTCAGGCTCGAATTCTTTAAAAACTGATGTCATCTTGGGTACACACTTGCCAACAAGAGTCGTGTCGAAGTGTAAAGCACAGACCGTTTCCTGGTGGCAACTGACCAGCTGTGACTCCAGCTATCTCCAGCTCCTTTTGCAAAGAGTATGGCGGAGATTGGCAAGGCTAATCAGTCATAATGATCCGTGGACATGTTCTAACGAATCAGATCTCAGGTGAGTTCTGTGTCGTTTTGAGTTCTAAGGAGCTGAAGGGGAGTCAAACGATGGTCGCCCGACCGCCACAGAAAAGAGTTCAATGAAAAGGCACGCTAGGTTTGAGGGAAACCAAGTGGCAACACATCATTCTTCTGCGCATTTTGCGTGCTGAGTACGAGGACCAAGGGTCAGATTTTATGTGTTCCATGCAGATCCATAGCTGGAGGATGACGACACATGCCACTTGCGAAGAAGGAGTTTTGTGGGAACTTGCTAGATCAGGACTACTCGGGCCTACAGAGGGACGACGTGTTGATTTTGCTGAAACTGACCTTTTGCCATTCTCTCCCGAAGCATAGGCACCCCTTGAAGAGTTGAGATGTGCTGGATTCCAAGTGCTTGAGACCCAGAGCTGGAACATTGTTTTGAGTCCTGCGTCGCGTAGAATGAGGGAATGACTATATATGTATAGATATACATTCACTAATCCATTTCCCCGTGCCTTACCTGGACACCAGTCAGTTTGGCAGCTGGGCAGATAGTGAGTGACGTGTTCCACCGAAAAAGGATTTGCTTCCAATCACTTCGCACCACGAGTCCGCCGGGCCAGGCCACTTTAGCGAGAGAAATGCCGCGGAGTGCATTTGGCAGATGCTCCTGGCTATTCGATGCTGGCCTTCACGGACCGGGTCCGTTGGTCCGGTCCCCTGTAGCTCCGAACCATAGAAACCCCGAACGGAAGCACTGCAGTGATGTTGTGGGATAGCAGGTGTTTCCTTTGGTCCCTGTAGCTCGAACCCAAACATGCCTTAATTGAATTGAAAGATGGATATAGAAATGGTCTAATTCCTTTTGGTTGACTAATCTACAGGTACTACTTACTGGCGTCGCATTCCGTCCCCCCGTGTTTCCACTGATGAGTATGTTTCAATTGTTGATTCAAAAGAGCTGTGAGATTTGTGGCAACAGGGGGGGATGTTTTTGGGTATACAGATGCATCCCACAAGACATCACAAGACACACAAAGAGCCACCAGATCCAGATCGGAGAGGCTGATTGGATCAAATACCTGGAAGAAGAAAAACACACACAAAAAAAAATGGCTTGTTATTTTCTTGTTAATTGATCCCGAAAAGTCTGACTCAACAAAACAAGACTATATACGAACGGAAGGGAGCTTGAGAAGGCAGTGAACTCAGCGAGAGGTTCCCCTCATGCAAGACAAATACCGAGGAGCAACCGTTTGCTTTTGTTCACTATGATTGAACTTTTGAACTCTCAGCCTTTGCCCTGTCCAGTAAGTTCCTTAATGAGTGATCCAGAGTGATCCTTGATTTTTCATTGGAGATTTGGTGGAGTATTCCGCAAGTTAATTGGTCTTTGGAGATTTGTTGTGTGTTTTTTGTCCCGGACAAGGCTCGGACAGGAGGATTCCTCGATCCCTTGCGCACTTGATCTGCTAAGGATATTTGCATGGCCAAGGCCTTAGTCGAGGGCGCAAGGCTGTACCTACCCCAACCACCGAAACCGAAACCGAGATAAGCCAGGAACCCAAACGGAATGAATAGCTATACACAATGCTATACTGGCTATAATTTGTCTTTAAGCATAGTAAGGATCAGACTTACTCAAAGGCTCGTGAGTCACAAGAAGTCGGTGTTCCATGTATGCAATGATGCCATGCATGGTTTGATGGATGAAACTAGAATCGTTGAATGGGCGATTCGCCGTGAAGATCTTCGGCACGTCCTGTTTGTGGGTCCCCAATCCCAAGATACTTGGTGGTTTCTTCGAGGGAAATACAATGAACAGATAAAATGGGTCGATTTTTCTGTTTATTTCTCCAGGATTGTCCAGAAAGCAACCTTTGTATTTGTCTCCAACATGCTTATGGTGACACAATGGCATTTGGACATTCTCCGGCCAAATATGGCCCAACAGCCTTAAGAAACAGTCGTGGAAGCTTTGGACCAGGGGAAAGGAAGTGGCACAGATGTTAAGTGTCACCTGGACACTCCAGCTTGAAATCAAGCCCAAACATCATGAGGTGTGGGACCGTCCCCGCCAACACCGTCCCCCCCAAACGGGTTAAGCTCAGACTGGGAAAACGAGCTTGTTGCGGAGCAAAGTTGGACATGTGCATCAAAACAGCGAGCATGGCCGTCAAACGTGACGGGGAGTTTCAATCATTTGGTTTTGCTAATAGGACCTTAATAGGAATGGTCGCTACTGGTGACTCTCAGTCATTCAAAAAAAAGCTGCTGACTTAATAAGACCTTATTAGGGATAGCGGCTATTGGTGACTCTCGGTCGTGCACCCCAAAAGTAGCTGCCAAAAGAAAATACATGAAAGACTATATGTTCCTGTTTGTTCGAAGGTCATGTATGGTCCAGTGGTGGTGCCCCTATTGATCGTGTTGTTACGGTTTTGGGAAGACAGCAAGGGCACCAGGAAAGGAGTGCTATCTCCTGGGATCTAGCTAGGTCTTTTTGGTCTTGCAAGCTTGAACAATGTCTCAGGCAGGCCGTGTTGACCACCAGCTCGCTGTTCAAGTCCTGAGCAGCCAGGGTTTGCTTGTGGGCTTGATGCCCCTCCAACCCCTTGTTTAACGCTTGTCCACACCCTATTCATCCAGTAATTGTGTTTAACACCTGCCTTCAAGATGATGCAAGTGTACGTTGAGTTGTCAAGCACTTTGGGACTCCCATATGGTTACACTCCCAATAATCGAAGTCTTCCCTTCATGGTCTTCCCTTCAGGGCCTTGCTGTCCACCGGCCCGGCGCGCCTTGCTATCCTTGTTCAACCCTTGGACCTCGCGCTGTGTTCAGCCGCGCAAGGTCTGGGCATTGTGCATCGCGACTTGAAATTGGAGAATTGGCTCTTTGAAAAGCAAGGAGGTGAGGAAGAAGACATGTGTGTGTGTGTGTCAGTTTCAACATGTGTACCACTGTAGACATGTTTTGTGTATTTATATATATATATATTATATATATACCCAGACACTCCATGTATGATATATTTACATACATGGTGGATGGGAGGTTTCAGGGGTCAATGTAGGCAAATATTGCATACATGGAGTCGTTTGGATGTATAGATCCATGCACCCACACATCCATCCGTACATATACTGTATATATATATATTGCACTGCAGTGCAGTGCATTACCCAATCATACAGACATACATACAGCGTATAATATGAAACTATAAAGTGTGTTCTGCTTTATCAAGAGGTTTTCGGTTGTACCCAGAGTCGATCCCCTAAACCAATGAATTTCTATATTGTATATATACACTCGGGAAAATTAACATGGCACCTGATGGCATGGACCTTTGGAAGACGATTTTCCTCTATATACAAACCAGTGGTTTTCAGGTTCCATGTGGGTCTCTTCCAGAATGTATATCGGAAGCCATTTGGGTACAGTCACGGTGGTGCGAAGAGGCGGATCCGTTGATGTTCCGCTTGGTCGGAGCACTCTGGATTTGGAGTGAGTCCTTTGCTGCTGGATTCTCGGTCTGACGTTTAAGTCAGACCAAGGAAGGGGGGATCCGTTGTGAGTGCGAAAAGTACAACATGGTACAACTATGCCAACAAAGGAAGTAGAAACTGAGTCGATATTTAGAGAAGTCATGGTCCAAGCCCAAGCGCGGATGTTCAGGAGGTGTCACAAAACGGTTTAGTTTCCCAGCTTCTCTAGGGCTGCTTCGGACTTGTTCGAATGCTTCCCAGTTAAGACTGACGGAGAAGGTCAGAAGGTCAATCGAGACTGCTACTGTAGACTCTTGATTCGATAGACCTCAAGACTGCTAACGTAGACAGCTAACCCTCGCCCATAGACAGCTAAGCCTCTCCGCCTTCGCTGCTTGCTCCGCTGACTGTCCTCGGTGAGATCACACCGATCTTTGGGTGTTCAACGGTCCAAGGACAGGTAGAGAGCAAGACCTTCCGGTTGAAGGGACATCAAAGGGACATCAAAGGGGACTATGAAAAAACACATGAAACACCATCTAACCGGCGGCGGAACGGAAGTCACCGGACCGGACGATGCAGGCGACGATTTGAAACTCATCGACTTTGGCTTATCCAAGTTTTGGGAGCCCAGCCACGCGGTGTTCGAACACGGCGTGGCTCGCGGGAGACGTGAGACGCGGCAAACCGGTGGGACCTCCATGGCGGGACCTCCGTTTCTGAAAGGTTTTGCCTTGGGAGGTCATGTTTGGGTGATTTGGGGTGTATCCTGGTATTTTCTTTTTGTGTGTATGTGTTACTGTGTTCGTTTGTTTTCTCGTGTGCAGAGGGTGTGCTTCTTTCGTTTTGCATGAGTTGTTAGAGCTGTTCCCATTCAGTTCATGTGTTCCCATTCGGTTATGTGTCTCAAAAGGATCACGCACATGTATTGTTGGTGGAACCTTTTTTTACTTGTTGCTTTTGGAATATTCCTTATGCACAAGTGCGCTTGTAAACTATCCTGGTTTGTCACGTGTTTGTCATGTGCCATGGGTCATTCAACCCAGAAACAGATAGGCACACCCAGCGATAGAATGAATCATCAATCACAAATCTTCAGTAAATATCGGAACCTCTTGCTTTGACAAGCCCTCTTGCTTTGAAAGCGACCTCGTCTCAGGGTCAGTGTCTGGGGTGTTGGAACCTCCAGGTGAATGTCTCCTTCTTTGAAGTCTCAGAGTTCTAGTCCGTGTTTTGTAAGACAATGAATGTGGGGTTTGAGTCTTGAGAAAATGTCTTGATTCAGAATTGGCCATGTGTCGCATAGGAACAATCCACCGCAAAACTGTGCGTGTTCAATTGGAAAACTGGCCGTGCCAAGGCAAGAAGATGGAGATGCGAGCCACTTGTCATGGGATGTCATGGGATGTCCCAACGAATCAGCGGGTGGATGCGCAAGCGCGCAACCAACGAAGGACACATCGCATCGGCCAGCCCACAATGAACCAATATGAACCAATCAACTTCATGGAATCAATGCGTTCTTTTTGAATGAATTAATGAATGGATGAGTGAATCCAACAGTCAATAAACAATTGCATTCCATATTGAACAAAGTCGGACAACCAGTTAATCAATCAATACCAATACCAGTTCCAGTGGATTCCATTTAACCTTCTTACACCACTTTCTGTAATTGCCCCTTGTTCCGGTACAGAAAGTGTTGGACGGAAACGCCAGAAATACAAGCATCACCCTGAAGTGGATTCCGTTGAACCAACTTAGCCTAATTCCTTCCCACAAAAAAAACATCGGAACCTCCCTCAGAACCGCCCGCAATTGAGTTGTGGCAGGGAATAGAGAGGTGACTTCGACATCCAGCAGTTTTCATCAAACTAGATTGACTAGTTGGTTGCGTCGTCCTGAAGCCACGGGAGATTAGAAAAACACAACACCTCTCCTGCTCTGTGGACCACACTAATTTTGAAATCAGTGAGAACCAGATGCATCGATTCAGTGAAACACCGATGTTTGGCAAATCTGTCACATGCGCCAGGTGGGCACACTGGACTATATGGCACCGGAGGCCGTTCGTTCCTTTGGAGACCGGTGTTTTTTAAAGCGATCGAGACACGGAGAACAGCCAATATATTCCCCATTGTAGTCACTGCCATGAAGCTGGCACAGGTGTAACAACTATTGATCGTATCTTTAAAGCTCAACTTGGACATGTGGATCAATGATCACTGAGCTTGTTGTGCTCGACTTTAAACCAAGTTCAAAGCTGGCAACCAGTGGGGATGGAAGCATCTTCGGAGCAGTATGACCAGCGGACAAAGTAACTGCAACTATGACATACTACCCCAACCAACTAACCAACTAACTAACTAAATCTAACTAAATACGACTAACTAACTAAATTTACTGACTAACTAACTAACTCACTCACTCACTCACACACTCACTCACTAACTCACTGACTAACTAACTAACTGACTAACTAGCCAAGTAACTAACTAACTTCCTAACTACTAAGTAACTAACTGACTGACTGACTGACTCACTCACTCACTGACTCACTCACTCACTGACTGACTCACTGACTCACTGACTCACCGACTCACTGACTCAATCACTCACCAACTATCTAACTGACTAAGTAACTAACAAACTAAGCAACTCACTGACTCACTCTATCTAACTGACTATATAACTCACTAACTAACTCACTCACTAACTAGATATCAAACTGACTAACTCACTAACTAACTAGCTTTGACCTGCGTGTTGCAGGGGTTTGGGGCCCAGCCAAACCTTCACTGAACTGAGGGTCCGAACGATTCTTAGGGTGGCGCCAAACCGTCAATCTATGGATTTCTTGATCTAACATGAAGGGTCACTTTCATGTGGAAAATGTATGAAATCGAAGGACCTATTATATTCACTATTCCATACAATGAAACTCACTGTGTTCAATTTGTGTTCGAGACTCTGCCGCTTTCAGGGGGGCCGAACCAGGCCGACGAAGTCCCAGAGACCTACCTTTTTCGCGCAACTCCGTTGGCACCGCCTTTTCCACGCAACGCAACCCGCGGGAACTCGTGACACGGACCGGGTGTCTCTCGGCAGGTCTTGCATCGGAACTACACCTCCAAATGCGACCTGTGGAGCCTCGGGGCCGCCCGACCGACTCCGTGGGAACGTCACCGGTGGAAGGTCCGGCGGGATCTTGGGTGACCAGTGTCACGCAAGGAAGAAGAGTCTCAGCGATCCTAAGATTGAAGTGATCCTGGGCCCATCAGTATAGATACTGTAGAGGTATATTAGATAGGAATGGCAACAAGGAGGCTTGGGGTAACTATATACATCTTTTTGAATTTGATTCTGATCTTGTGCACCTGCGCAGGAGTAATCGCCCCCCTCACCCCGGCGCACAGATCCTCCAGGCGAGACACCCCCCTCCGGCGATCAAAATCGAGGTGATCACCTACACCCTGCTCGTGGGCAGCTTCCCCTTCGCTGGCCGTGATGGCGACTCCGCCATGCTCGCGCGGATCGCCGCCGGCAGGTGACTCCGCTGGTGGAAGCGGTTTGTTTTGAAAAGTGGGCGAAGCGGTCCGTCGGATGGGTTTGGAGTTGGAGAAGTGTTCTTTTCAGCGGTTTGGAGAAGGTGGAGCAGGTTTTATGAAGTTTCAGAAGGGCGACGTTTTAGGGTTACTGTAGTTAGACTTGCTGTGAAGGTGTTTGGAGATGATTGGATTTCTCTTGGGTGTGTCAGTGTGTCTCCGGTCATAGATGCTTGTTGCTGTGTGAATCCAATGTACTTGCCCGGTTTCAGGAGTCGGGGGATTCGAGAAGAGCAGAATGTACAGCTGGTGGTTGTGTGATTCACCGTGATTATTTTGAAGGAGTGTCTCAATTCGGGTTCCTCATGAAGGAGTGTCTCGGTTACCATGCACCCTTCGCTTGAAGCCCCCGCACCTAACCCCTTCACCAGGTTCGCCAAAGAACGGGACGCCTGGCAGTCCTCCTCCGCTGTGGCGAAGGACGCGACAGCTACCCCACAGCCACGCGACAGCCACGCTCCATGCGTGTCGCATTGGACATGGATCGTTTCAGTTCTTCCAATGACCCAAACAGAGGGATACAGTTTGGGGGATTGGACTCAACCCCTTTTCTGTTCCTTTTTGCCCATTCATTAATCGAAGGACCAGGCCATTTCTTCCAAACTTGTGGGTCTTTATATGTATTCTTCTTCTTGGGGCATTGGACTTGACCCCTCATTTTTGGGCCGCGCCTGACCTGCACCGACACACACACACACACACACTTAGATTGGATTCATAGCTCAAACGAATGAGCGTGATTTTCAGTATGTGAATCGTCGCTGCATTAGCGCTTTAAGTGACTACGTAGCACTTGACTTGCAGGAACAGCATGGTGAATCGTCGGCTGAACTGAAGTGTTGAGACAACCTGAAGGACCTAGACAACAGCCTGAACAAAGGGAACCATTGGAGTCATTGTGTTTGCAAGCAGGTACGTCAGTTCCGCGTCCGGAACTGATATCCTGGTCAGCTGCATAGAGCTTCGCCGGTGACAGCTATGCAGTGACCCTGTCGCCCCCCTGCTTTATGAAGTGGACACACACACACAAACAGCCGCATAGCGACGCACCAAAGTTCACTGCGGTAGCTCTAATGATGAAACAATGCAGTGGACAGCTTGGGCCTCACCTAGGTTGTAAACGGTGGCAGACAAATATACATTAGCACTTCATTGCCGTATGATGAAGCAACGCAGTGGGCAGCATTGGCCTTACTTAGGTTTTAGAAGGTGGCAGACAAATACATTAGCACTTCATTGCTGTAGCTCTTTACTGATGAAGCAACGCAGTGGACAGCGTTGGCCATACTTAGGTTTTAGAAGGTGGCTGACAAATGCATTAGCACTTTATTGTAGGAGCTCTTTAAAGGTGAAACAACACAGTAGACAGCTTTGCATTACTTAGGTCCTAAAGGTTCCTCAAAGATGCATTAGCACTTTTTTCTGGAGGAAACAACGCAGTAGACAGCATGGGCATTAACTTAGTTTTCGAAAGGTTGCTTTAACTCTGTACCGTATACAATACTAGCGCTTGTTTGCAATCACTCGGCGGGGGGTAATGGGTCGAGTAAACGAGCCTCAAAAGTGACCACAAGCCTGAGGAAAAACCTCAACAAACAAAAGAAAACGCAGGAGAGAAAGAAAGAGCGGGGCGGGGGGGGGCGAGCACTCGCTTGTGCACTTGAAATTTACCTCGCTTGTGCACTTGCAAATTTACCTCGCTTGTGCATTTTTTCTACTAGTAGTACTACTACTACTACTTCTACTACTCCTTACTACTGCTACTACTACTACTACTACTACCACTACCACTACCACTACCACTACCACTACCACTATACTACCACAACTACCACAACTACCACTACTACAAGTACTACTCCTACTACTACTGCTACTACTGCTACTACTACATCATACTACTGCGACGAAGACCACGACGACGACGACCGCGAAGACGCAGACGAATAGTACTACCACGACGACGACGACGACGACGACGACGACTACTACTACTACTACCTTTACCACTACCATTACTACTGACTACTACTACTACTACTACTACTACTACTACTACTACTACTACATCATAGTACTCACTAACTAGCTAGCTTGCTAGCTAACTAGTTAACTAGCTATCTATTTAACAAACAAACAAACTAACTAACTAGATCAGACACAGAACATCTGTATCACATGGTTCTTTGGAAGCACATATTCAATAAAGATCATCACGTGGAAGAATGTCAACAAAGACGTTATTAACCCCCCCACCCCCCCCCCCCCCCCCCCACCCACCCACTTCACCCCAACAAGATATGTAATTTTAATGAGCAGTTGTGTTCAGTAACCTCACCTAATTACATGTCAGGTGCAAGAACTTAACATTGTTTGGTGGTTGAGTATCTTTTCATTTTCTCCTACCCCCCCACCCAATAGATTGTTGGTGGTTGAATGTCCTTTCACCTTCACTTTCCCCCTGAAAGTGTGCAAGTGAGTGCTAAGTGCGCAAGTGAGGTAAAGTGCGCAAGTGAGGTTATTTGGGGGTGCGCAAGTGAGTGCTTGGCCGGCGGGGGGGGTAGTGTGATCGACACTCGGTCGTAAAGCCGGTTCTGGCGCTCTCTGGACTGAAACATCTCTGGCAACGAACGGAAATTGAAGCATGCAGTGAATTACTCAAGGGTGTAGAACGAAAAAGTCGGTAAAATATTTTCCGTGGACTCGGCAGTAGTCGATCAGCGTTTTCGTGCAATATCGGTTAATCAGAGAATGGTTCACGGTGCATATGCGTGGATCCGAGGTTGTCAGCTTTGAATTCAGCGCCCCGAACGGATCACACAGCACACCCAAGTGGGAAGATGCTGCTGAACACATTTAGTTTCATAGCTCAAATGAATGAGCGTGATTTTCAGTATGTGAATCGCCGCTGCATTAGCGCTTTTAAGTGACTACGTAGCATTTGACTTGCAGGAACAGCATGGTGAATCGTCGGCTGAACTGAAGTGTTGAGACAACCTGAAGGACCTAGACAACAGCCTGAACAAAGGGAACCATTGGAGTCATTGTGTTCGCAAGCAGGTACGTCAGTTCCGCGTCCGGAACTGATACCCTGGTCAGCTGCATAGAGCTTCGTTGGCGACAGCTACGCAGTGACCCTGTCGCCCCCTGCTTTATGAAGTGAAAACTCTTGGAAACAGAGGTGGACACACACACACACATTTGGGATATGGACTTTGTGACATGGGTGTAATGAGAAGGCTTCGGAGTGAACCAGAAGTCCTGAAGGGAGAGCATTTGCACAGAGGTATTGCATGAAATCATGAGCCTACAGATCTAAGACCCAGTATAAAGCATGGTCCTTTACCTCATTGAGTAGTGCTGTTGTATGATCACCAGTAAAAATGAGGTCAATTTGATCTGCAGGTTGAGCATCCGTTTGTCCATGACACCGCTGTCATGGCGCCATGCTTCACAGGACTTTGTCGAGAAGCTGTTGACTGTGCCGCAGTTGCATTGGAGCAGGTGCCGAGACCAGGAGTTCCAAAGGAGTGGTTTTTTAAACACATCCAGTGAGTGGGAAAATGGACACCACTAGCCTATCCTCCATTGGGCAGGAATTCGGAAATGCAGAGATCATGTTTCACCAAGTCCAGTGATACTCTATTTCAGAGCTCCGCCCAAGCCAAAATGCGTGAAGACCGGTATTTATACAAGAAACATTGTTTTAGTTTATCGGGGCCTTCGTGAATTCCTTGTACAGAACATTATCTTGCCAGGTTTTATTCGCGAACGAGAAAGACATGCAGTCAATGAGTTCATCCCCCCAGCCCATGCGCCCGGCATTTGCAGCTGCCTCCCTGACCACTCCGAGGTGAACCACCTTCAGCGGCTCTCCGCCGAGCAGGCCCTGGCGCACGCCTGGATTGCGTCGCGCGCACCTGGGCAGTCAGAACTCAGCGGAACGCGCCAGCGTCAGACGAACGTGGGGTGACAACTCAGCGTCTAAGAACAAGGGCGAGAAGGGTAGAGACAATACCGTACAAATTGTTCTCAAGATGGGTATGTCCGTCGGATTTTCTATACTGCTGCAGGGCGGATCTTTTCTCAGGACGGTCTCAGATCTCGTGGGCCGTCGTTTCGACAACAAGTTGATATACCAATAGAAACAAGTTTTGTGAAAAGAAGCTCACTTATAGCTGATAAACCACTAAAAAGAGGTGAAACACGCTTACACAGTTTAACCGAGAAACCAATATAATCAGACTGACTTGTCAAGCTTTAAAACAAGAAACAACGTCGATCAACCACAAATGCTGCTGGAAGACTCCAGACTCCGCCGGTGTGTCCCAGTAGTCCAGCATAGCTGTTGGCAAAAGATGTTCAGATATGTTCAGTATTCATAAAGGCCTGCAACCTAAATATCATCATCACCACCACCACCACCATCATCATCATCATCATCATCCACTGTTACCCAAACCATGAACATGTGTGGTCGAAGCAATGACAAGCCTTGTATGGACTCTGAACATGTCGCACTGCCGGATTCCGTGTGAGATTGAGCTGTTACAATTTGGATTAACATCACTTCTTTGTTGATTTAAAACGCCCTGCGTATTCCCCAAGTCTTACAGAGAGGAAGTGCTGCTTGGTGTTCTCTAATATGGATTAATGGATGATATAGATGGTGTTAACAGAGCAGATGTCGATGGATGACGTCTGTTTGTTGGGTCATCCTCAGGTAGAGGACGGATATCGAACACTTCATAGCAAACCTCCCACCCGGGAGTCATATATTACATTGTGTCTCCTTCAATCGCAAACACTTGACTGAAAGCCTGGGAAGCAATTGAACATCTCAGATTCATGTGGTAACAGAAAGGATTGTTGGGAGCCGAATGACAGCTGCACTGGAAGAAAAGGAACAAGGCGTGAATTCATTGATACCACCATGGGAGTCACCATGGGTGATATCAAGATTTGATTGTGGCGCGAAAGCTGGACTCGAAGCATAGCAAGACGTTACCGGTGCAAAAAGGTCAAAAATTCAATCAACCGTTTACTTTTCGACTTTGGGTCACGGATCAAGCCTGAGCCTTTGTGAGCAGAAACTGAGTGACCTGCGTTCACAAAAAGTACAGGAGGATTCCATCCTGATGCACTGAGACTGTAGCCTTTATATACTGTATTCATGTTTATTCCACGCATCAAGAAGGTGGTTGCGGAATTGTCCGCGGTGTTTTCAGGGTCCAAGTAGTAGTTGTCCTCTCCATTCTCGCTCCGCGCCGAGGAAACCGTGGCCAAGAGCTATGTGAGCAAGGTGACTGGTCGGAATTGGTCAATCTGCAGATCTCACTGATAAGTTTTTGAAAAGGCGGCATCTTGAATCTTGAGTAATGAATAATTACCAACTTACAGGTGTGCTGTAGTCTGTGGACGATTCAACCCACAACTACCCACAAAAGAGAGTGGGCTGCTACGGAAAATGCAAAAGGACTGAGGGGCGGAAAGTATCCACGACCATGCCGCCTCAAAGAGATCGAGGAGACCAGACCACCTTGTTCCAAAAGTCCTGGAAGTAACTCTCATGAGACATGGAAGTGGAAGAATGCCAAACTGCCCCTACGAAGCGACTGAAGATGAGCCTAAGATCACATGAACCAACAGTCCACCGCATGGTCTTGCGCCGATGGAGCATACTGCACACGAAACCCATTTAGGCAAACGAAATCCAGGTGGTGGACTCCAAAAACGATATCTCATGTGTAACAACGATATCTCAGTTGTTGGACCTAGTACTTCGGCGGCGCTGTTTGGTCGAATAATAATGTGGAAGCCCTGGTGTTTCTTCTTCTCAGCACTCTCGAGCTTCAACGACCTCCAAAGTTCAAACTTATACCGACCCTTAAAACTCACCCCTTGGGATAGGTACCTTGTCAGGTCCTTGGAGCGCTTGCGCACGCGTGGTCAGCACCCAGTTACGCATGCGCAGACTTCGCCCCACACACGTGTTCAGCGCTGCCCCACGTGTACTTCGCCCGCGGGCCCCCTGCCCGGCCAGGAGATTGTGGATGCTCTTTGCTCCTTCTCCGAATCTTCAGCCTTCCGACGTGCCGTGGTTGCGAGGTGTTGCTCATTGGAAGCATAAATCGTAAACACTGCATGACAGCGGAAGTGAGACCATTCGAAGCTAAACTATTCAACAAAGTGAGTGTGTTTTTCTTCCGCCTAAATGTTGAGCTGAGACCACCAACAGTCCCCAAGGACCCCCAGCTGCATCCGATCCACTCAGTGCAGCCCACTCAGCAAACCTGATGACACTCTCTCTCTTTCTATACAGCGGCGACTCCTGTGTACATTACGACATTCTCTCAGTCTTCTCTCCGCAGATTCAAGAGACTTCTTCGTTTTTCAATGGTGTTTTCCATGGTTTCTCAAAAGCCTCAGAGTGATAGAAATCTGATCCACTCCCAGAAAACTCCACTGATCCCATTCCGATCCCGATCCCATGCCAGTCCTCCCGTCTCACGACCCTGTTGCACCAGCCCTGCACCACGACCGTGGCATGTCTGGGTGTTCTCTCCCCCGCGGGTGCCACCGGCGCCCCCGTAGGGGCGCACGCGCGGGCTCCGTCGCAGGTGCCTGTCTCTCAGTGATGGCCATGTCCCTCTCCAACGAGGACCGGGGGAAAGATCCGGAGCCGCGGCGACCTGAGGGTCCGACGGAAGGCCGTAGCTGCGGCGACCTTCCATTGGGAAAGAAGCTTTCAGCGACCAAATGTGGGTCCTTTGATGTCCTTTGACATGGGTGGTCCCTCATGTGATGGATGTTCGGAATCTAACAGATGGTTATACAGCACACTTGGCAAGTTGGTTGAGGATTAAGAGAGTCAACCCAAGTGTTCACAAGAGCACCTCAAGCCTTGGGGCGGGCGGGGCGATACACCAGGACCGTCAGGAGGTGCATAAGGCCTTCTTGGAGATTGACCAGGTGGGCGTCCTGCAGTCAGGGGTTCCGGGGTCCACCATGTCCCATGGTAAACGCAGTGCTTTCTTGGGTGCATGCACCAGTGCTGAACCCTTCAGGTCCTCGTCTCAGCCAGGTGGCAGTGGAAAATATTGTTGTGAGCCTTTGAATAGAGACCTGGACCATTTGTCAGCCCAGTCTGTGTAGGTCGTGTAGGGTACAATTGTAATATATAAATATAATATTTGCTGTGTGATTTGGAGTTGCGCTCTCCATACGACATCAGATACTGTATCTAGTCTATACGTCGAAACTGAACAAATCCTAAGGAGAGATCTTTGTCTCAGCACGTCACGCATTCGTGAGTGTACAGTCTTTCCAGGACTGAGGTTTGGACTTGATGTGTTCAACAAGCTTCGAGGAACCACAAGAGCCCCCCCCCCAAAAAAAGACGATGGGGGCGTGTATTTACAGGAGACCTCCCAGTTCGACCCCCTGGAAGAAGTATGCAAATTGAACAAAGTCTACCCATGGGCTCTCTAGAGGGAGTCTCCTGGTAAAAATGCACAACTTAGATCGCAGAAGGCAGCGTAGCGAAACTGGACGTACTAAATGCCTAGCTTTCGTCTTCCTGGGGACTGCTCTTCAGGGCTGTGCAGCTGCCTGCTTGCTGCGGCGTCACATGCCTAGGCATCTTTCCAATCACAGAGGCAAGTGCAAAGTGGACAGTATCTGGATATGGGAAAACAACTTTCCAATGTTTTGTTCCATTTGGTGGCATTCTCTTCATTGACTTTTCTTTGGCCAGGCCAATTCCTGGATGTTTCCGTGAAACAGCGGATACTGTTTGCCGTTGTTAGCCTAGGTGACTTCTGGGGCCTCTCCCAAATGGGGGATGAACATCTCAGGTGCTGAGAATGACCCCCCGACCCCTGGAAGAACGACCCCTCAGCATTTGCTGAAGCTGAAGACCACGAGTCATCGATGCCAGTGGACTCTCGTGAATTTGGACTGATTCTGATCGAACATGAGATAACTGGCATCGGTGATTCTGACAGATGATCATCATTGAACATATTTGAGAATTCAGAATCTGAATCTCTTTGGTCAGATGATTCTGACACTGATTCTCATCTGATGAGTTGGTAGAGCTGGATTTGGACTCGATCATGGCATCATGTGGCATCATGTCCATGAATAATGCATGGTCACCACACAATTGCGGATACGAGATTCACACCTTGTCAGCCCAAGAGAGACAAACCCATCGGTTCCAACTGTCTAGAGTCTAGACTGGACTCTAGACGAGTTGTGTCTTCCTCGTGCGGCACCTGCCCTGATGGTCAGGATCACAGTGGAACCATCACCTTGTCTGAGCTCAAAAGTGTTCTTGGACTGCAAAATTGATCACCCGTCTCAAAGGGGCCAGGGGTAGAGCCAGAGGAGCAACGATGAACTGTAGAGACATGGATTGTCGTGGATTCTGGGGCACCGCAAATCAGCTGCCACCTCATTGTTTCAAGGACCTGATCTTAGGGTTATCGTTGACAGCAACCATTTCTTTCCCATGAACTGAGCAGTGTACGCTTTGATGAGCCAGTGCCAGCTCTTGGTCGCCACTGAACACTCGACCTGATACTGCCAGTTGTTGAAGTCGAGACGTGTTTTTTTGCAAATAGCAGATAGAAGGTGATGAGCAAGCCAGGAAGTCGATACACTATAGCGTTTCCTTGCAGGATAGAGTGTGTTGGAAGATGTTTTCTACATGCATGGTTTTATTCAATGGGCTTGGTTTACTCAGCGTTCACAGTGTTTTGATTGCACAAGACCTACCGCAAGGAAGTTGGCAGGCAACCCATAGGTTGTTTCTAGAGGTTTCTATAGGCAGCCCATAGGTTCCCCTTCATCTTGGGATTGTGGGTCTCATATGTCCAACCCTCCAAGGGCTTATAGGGCCAACCCTCGGAAGCAGGGTCCGCGTGGAAACCAAGCTTCCGCTGTGAAGCGGGCACACTATTGAGTCGCATGAACTTGTGCCAGATGAGGTGTGCCCTTGGGGGAAAGCTTGATTGGGCTACCTTCGCTGGTGCTGCCGGTCTGCTGCTGGTTTTCTGCTGCTGCTGCTGCCTTGCTGCTGCTGGTTGGCTACTGCTGCTGCTGGCGGTTGGCTGCTGTTGGTTTGCTGCTGGTTGGCTGCTGCTGCTGCTGGCTGATTGCTGCCGGTGCTGCTGCTTGCTGCTTGGCTGCTGCTGGTGCTGCTGCTTGCTGCTTGCTGCTGCTTGTCGCTGCCGCTGCTGCGGCCTTCGCTACAAGGCCTACTCATTTGCTGCCTGTCATTGTCTTGCACGCCCTATGATTATAGCGGGCTTCTTCCATTGCAGACTGGGCATTGGAAACGTGATATGAAGCTTGGTGGCAGGCCTGTTTGGTGAAACGCGGTGCCCCATGCGGAAACAAGTATCGCAAGGACGCTGCCGTGACTTAGTCGTGGCGTGGTGTCCCAGTTCTTGATTGGTTGCCACAGCTGCATTGCAAGGACTTTTGTGTTTGGGTGTTAGTGGGCATCGGTCTTCTGGGCAAACGTGTTCATCTCGCCCAATACCTCGCCCACATCTCGCCCTCTATCTCGCCCAGCCCACCAGGCACCAGGACCTCCGGAGGTGTGCGATGGGGATTGCCATTGTCACAACACGTTTAACGAACCATTCCATGCTGTTTGCACTCCAGGTAGAAACTTAAAGCTGGTACCAACATGTGGGTCAGAATCGGGGTGCCATGGGATTGGATCACGGCAACCCATAGATAACCTTTGAAAACATCAACATGTAGAAGGTTGATGAAGGTTGAACCGCAATGGAATAGTGTAGGTTTAGAAACAATCTAGGAGAAAAAGTGCTTGTCTGGAAGCGGTGTGCCATTTTGTCCAAATGGGGTAAGTTCTTACATTCGTGGGGTAAGCGGTGTGCCATGGGGGTGGGTCAAGTTCACGTGCGATGGGGTAAGTTACCACGTCGGGTAGCTCTCCAAATTGCGTTGCCATTGGGATTTGCAGTTGAAGTTTTCTCTTTTTTGGAAAGGTGAATCTGGAGAACCTTGTTCTGTATGTAGCGTTTACAATGGGGAAGGCCAGCAGTCTTGACTTAAGTACTGACTTTTGCAAATCGGCGTTCCATGGTGGCTTAGTATCCCACATGCAAAATGTATTAACTTCAACGGGCACCAGTAGATGTCCAAGCGGAATGAAAGCTTATCTTTGTTTGGATAATGTATGTGTGTGTTTTGCTCTTTTTTTTGTTTCCATGGAAGGATGGAGGATGCAATTGTTGTGATTGGAGAGATGGACAAAGTTGGAGACACTGGACAGCACTGGACAGTTTGTTTTCTTTGCCTGTCTGCTCAGGAGGTAGCGATTCAGGGTCGGGGTCGTAGCCGGTTCGGAGGGACCACGGGAGGAAACTCCCAAGCATGTGTTTTTTTTCGTTGCAACGCTTCCTCATGCAAGTTTCCCGTGCAGCCCGTGCCGTATAAGAAGCACATCTCTGAGGTTCTTGAAGACAAGTTTCATATCAAAGATGATGCAGTAGCCAGGCCACCGGGCAGCTGGAGAACAGGGGATGACCGCCATGGCCCAGGATGGCTAAGTTGGTGAAGTGGTCAACAGGAGTGAATATAAGATTTGTTGGGGGGGTATTGCTTTTCCCGCACATGCACAGGTGGAAACAGGCTTACCCTATAAATCAAGAAATCTGCAGGGCTCCATGAGAGGTGTTTTCTCTGAAAAGGAAGGCGATACCTATGATTTTCGGGAGTCTTGGCACACACTAGAATCTCTAAAAGTCTCAAATCTAATTCGGCCCAGTCGGGGGAGCAGAGCATTGAAGAGCGATTTATGGAACATCTCCTACTCAGCAGTTCAGTGGATCATCGTCACCTGTTTGGGGGGAACAGGTGGACACCAATGGTCGAACAGGTGGAAAGTGATGCTGCCAATGGGGGTGCATGGCATGAGTCAGGGATGGAACAGGTGGAAAGTTATGGCACCATTGTATCTGATCAATCCCCATTTGTCCAAGACATCTTCGGGAGTGCCATCTACTCTGAAACCACGCAAACCCCAAACCCTAAAGCTGTGGTCACTGATGGTTTCCGATCAGATCTCCGGGTGTTCGGTCGACGAGACGAGCGCAGGCTCAGCACCTTTTTGGGTGGCGCCAAAAGCCACGGCTTCTGACTCTCCTTACCATGGATAGATTTGGTGGCGTCTCAAAGCTGTATCCATGTAGAGGTAAACACTAGTGTAAACACTGTATACTGTATACACCTTAAGGGTATGTTTGTTGGTTGGCTTTTCTAGTCTTTGCCCCGATCAAGAACGAGCTAAGAAGTTCACTTGGGGGGTCTTTGTGGTCTGTTCAATCCAGGAGTTTGGACTTTCACGTGTTCCAGGACTTTGCCCAAGTGATCTCCAGCCGTGTCCAGGACCTTTCACAGCCTGCAGTCTCCCATGTCCCGTGTGGGTGCTCGGAGGGGGTGTCCCTTCTGGATCCATGTTTCAAGGTGCTCGGAGGAGGGTGCAGGTGGTTGCTGTGTTCATCCACCCCATCACGTGTTGTTGTTGTTGTTGTTGTTGTTGTTTCATAAACAAATACTGATCATGTATTTTACTTCGGCTCTTCTTTCCACATTGAGATGAGATGATCGTTGTTGAGAGTGCATCGGGTCCTGAATGACCTGGCTCGATCCTCAAGAGATCCTGGATGCCCGACTTGTGATCTGATTCTGTTTGTTTTCCACTTTTGCCTATGCTGGTGGGTACCAAAGCACTCGTTAACGAGTCCGCTGATGTGAGAAAACCTGTAGTGCGGTAGCGCAATGGATCCTTCAGGAACGTGTTGTTGTTGTTCCTGTTGTTGATATTGTGGTTGTTTGTAAAGTCCTGAAGCAGCAAACACATGGCATATTGGAACACGCACAGACTGATTGCTGGAAAGCAGCTGATCATTTGCTGTGGTGTAGCTTTGGCTTCGCTTGAGCTAGCTGTATAGCTGCATGGCAAGTAGTGATCAGCTGTTACAGGCTTGAGGTCGTTTGCTTTTTGGATCTGTTTGGCTTCCAATAAGTTTTCCTGCAGGTGAGACATTCAAGGACTCCCTTTTCCCACCTTGCCTCAGCAAACCATAAAAATTCTTGGTTCTTGGATCCCCACCCACTTGTGCTCACTGCTTCAATCGATCATGGGCAGAAGCTGCTTTGTTCTGGGATGTTCAAGAGCGCAGGGGCCTTAGGGTACTTTCTTGATACATCCCTGGATCCAGCTACCATGATGGCAAGGTCACCACCGGAGTGTGGGCACGTACAGTGTAAGCCGAGTCCATCCGTGGCGTCGCTCCGTGTCGTCCATCAGGTGACGAGGAGTGGGTGGAGTGGTGGATTTATCGCTTGGGTGTGACAAACATGTACATATGTGATCGATGCGGAATGAGATGTTCCGCCATGATTGACTCTCACCATGGGTTTTTAGTAAAAAGGGAACTTGTTCTGGGAAGGATTCTATTGAAACGAAAAGGTTCGGAGAGTTTTGACAGGGTATTTGGTGGCTGATGTTGAACGATTGTGTCCATCCTTTGTCCTCTACTGTAGTCCTGCCGTGAACCTACTTGTGCTCGTTCTCCAGCCAAAAACCTCAAATTACTTTACTTCGAGTGATCCCCACCATGACATGCCAATCATTTGTTTTCATGCCATGGTGAGTCACCTGGCATGTTGGAAAAAAATCATATCCAATAAGTTTGATCCGACCTGAGGCCGATGAAACACAGCAGTCAGACTGGCCTCAATCCTGAAACCCAGATGGATCCGTCTCTCTCTCCGGATCTCCCTTCACCGGATCGCGATTTCGACGCGGGGCTCGCGCCCGATCGACGCGCTGCTTGGAGCGACGCGCTGCGGGGGACGCAGCGTGAGGAGATCCACTACAGCGACTTCCTCGCGGCCATGATGTCGACGCGCATTGCCTTGCACGACGACTTGCTGCGGAGTGCCTTCCAACGCTTCGACGTGGACAATGAGGGCTACGTCACGAAGAAGAAGCCGCGAAGAAAAAGGGAATGAGGGGAGGGGAGCCCGTGTTTCATTTTGAGTTGGATCCGCTGGTTGGCGAGATGATATGGTGAGCACGGTCCAGTTGGTGTGAGATTCTGGATAATTTTCACAACCTGGAAACTTGTAGAAAAGGTTCAAGTTCTCGCGCCTGGCGGTTTATCACTCCTTTCACCAGTGAACGAATGTTCAAGACGTTCTTTTGTAGGCACTGTCAGGTGCCGGAAGTCTCTAGTCACAGCCTTTTCAATGATCCAAATTGCTGAGGCTGAGAATGCTCCTGGGAGACTCCCTAAGCGAGGACGAGTTGGATGATGTGATGAATGAAGTGGAGACTTGACTGAATCCAGCAGTGCAAGTCAGTTTGTCTCTTTGTGCAAACGAAATCCAACGCACCATCGCACACCTGTCGGGTTGTACGTTCAGGATTTCCTCGACCATGTGATTGGCTCAATGATGCTCAATTTATTCGTTTTGGAGGAGGGTAATTTGAACAAAGTTTGAACAACCACCGCCTGTTCCATGAACAAACCGACCAGATTGAGCCTCGTTGTGGCACTGATCTGTCTGAGCTTGGTAGCTCGGCTCGACCGCGCTTGGCGTGTCCCCAGACTTGGAAACATGCTTTGGTGACCCGAGTTGGGAGGAATGTACTGCTGCTGGTCCAGGGTGCTGCCTTGGATGTCTTTGGATGTTTGCTGCCTTGGATTTTAGGGCTGTTAGGGTCACCAAACATGGAGTAAATGATGGTTAATGTATGTATACCCCTGAAAGAATCATGGCTACGTGATGTTACATGGATGGGAAAGTAGCCCTCATTTGGGATGACCATGAAATCCAAAATACCAAGCAGGTGGTGAACTCCACTTCCATGATTATTTCAGGAAGTGGCAACTATATGATTGCCTCTTTGAGTCCGATGGTCCTGCAGGTCTTTTCTTCAATCGCTAGCTGTTGTTGCTGCCAGGATGCAGACCACGATGGCCGCATTTCCATGAACGAGTTCGTCGAGCTGCTTGGAGAAAGGGTCCCGATCCAACAAGACGCGGGACCTCGGGGGGGGGTGGGCGGTTGGCACAGGTACACCTCGGCGGTTTTGGGGGGGTGCCTTGGGTGGATTTCAAAAGGTTTGCAGATGATTTTCGGGTATGAGCGTCGGGAATCAGGGTAGTGGTGGAATCAGGTTGCCTGATGTCCAGTTGAGGCTGCTTGGTGTGTTTCCCTTTGCCATGCAATGCGGGATTTTGAGAAACAGTGTTATCCACCCATTTTGGGATGGGATGATTTGCTCATGTTTCTCAGGTTTATTTTGAAAACTATGGAGCTCCTCGGACCCTTTCGAAATCTTTGGGGATTTCTATTCCCTTGTAGGCCGAGGGTCTGGTTCATTGTTTTGAGACGTAGGAGCCAAAAGTGATGTGGTTGATTGCAATTCACCGAATCATCCATACACCCTGGAAGACTAACATGGACCCTGAAAACCACTGGTTGGTAGAGGAAAACCATCTTCCAGGGGGCCAGACAGTCCGGGTCTATGTTCGTTTTTTGTTTCGTGTCTCTTTTCCCGATCCGGGATCCCCGGTCCACCGGTCGTCAGGTTCGGTCGACCCACCTACAGGATCACAGTGTCGAACACATCACCGGACCTGAGGTTCGGAACGACAACGGATCCCTACATTTTTGTATTTTCCTGTCGCGGCCTCCAATAGGTCACGGACTGTTGCCATGGCCCGTCACCACCATGGCTAGACTAGTCGTATGGCTGATGGTTGGGCAGTACAGTGACACGATTGGTCCATTGAAACACAAAGTTTTTGGGCAACATCTGCGGCCCTATGGGAGTCCCTATGGGATGTCATACTCAACCAACAATCTGCTCAGAGGCTGAAGGGAGATGCGTTACGTAGCACTGTTACGGCCAACCGGCCAACCATGAGGTTTGGAAGGTAGACAAAAAATTTGCAGAAAGTTTTCCTGCCAAACAATCATCTGACACTTCAATATACCAGCACCACCCAGGTCGGGTGGATAGAGGGAAAATACATCTGAGGTCGTTTTGGCGCCCAACAGTCCGACATGGCACATAAAAAGGAGTCCATGTGGTTGAAAGGAGTCAATGGACATTTTTGGCGCGGTGTTTTATGGTGTTTTCCTTGACTGGCCTGATCTTCGGTCCCTGAGCTCCACAGCGCCCGAGATACTTGCACCACCGTCGGAGCAACGAGAAACATTTGGAGGTCGAACGCCGTGATCCGCTGTTTGATGACCGGGTAGCAGGAGGCTTCGCTACACACTCGGATCCAATGGCGTTCTCAGAAGGGTTTTGATTTTCTGTACATGAAATGTTGAATCATTTTGGAGATGTCATGGCCGTTGATGGTCGTTTTGCCTATTCACATCGTCGTTTTTGTTGGTCCAGATGTGTCAGGGTGACCAGGGTTTATGCACACCGTGACGGACACCGAGCTCCGCCTTGTGTTCCTACAATCGAAGAGATTTGAATTTGAAAGTATATCTAAACTTAAATGTACGTGCACTTATCATGCAAATGTATGCGAGGTATTTCCCTCAACAGGCCGGAGAATGCCTTCACGATGCTTCATTTGCGCCAGTGTCTTTTTCCCCAGCTGCTTAGCATCTTCCATGTAATTTGTGTTTGTGAACTAAGAATTAACAATTTTTTGGTACTCAATCTTTACCACTGAGTATGTATCCTCCAGGCCTCCAAGAACCTGTATGAATGGCCAGCTTCGCAAAAGCAGGGCAAGTTAAGACTTAAGAAGGACATGTCCATGCCACCAATAGTCAAGCTCACCAAAAGTAGAATGTGTTTCAAGAACTCCTTGGCACGGGTCTCAACCTTGGCACGCTCGGGTAGCACAGGATTTCTTCAACTGTTGCATGCACTTAGCAGATGTTTTCTCAACGTTTGTGACCGATCGTGCCCAGCCACCGCCGAGCCTGAAGAGGCTGCCCACAAAGCCATCGACCGTGAGCTGAAGCGGCCCTGCGGCAGGACGCGGGTTCACCTGAAGCATCGAAGGGCTTCCTTGGGACGATAGGGATGATAAGAGCCGCAACTAGTTCAATCCCATGTGTGCAAGACATCTATATGTCTATATGTGTTTTCTGGCGCGTTTCTTACTTCGAGTGTTTGCATGTGTTTTGTTTTCCGGTTTGAAGAGTCTGTTGGCTGAGCCTGCCTTCGAAGTTCCAAGGTCCAGTGGCTCATGTAGTGAAGCTTCCCTTCAAGATTCTTGGCTTAGTTTTCCCAAGTGGTGGCTTTAGAAAGGGGAGTAGACACAAAATTGTCTTTAGTATTTGTTGAGTCTCACCATGACCACTCCACTTATGACACACCTCTCAGCTGCAGATGGCTGCAGCGTGGTGACCAGGCATCTCAAGTTGGGTTTGATGTCCAAACCTTCACCTCATCCCTCCAGGGATGACCACTTCCAACATCTTCCAACCCAGAACTGGAAGTGACCAGGTGACCAGATTATGAAAACACTTGGGGATGAGCCATAAAACCATATAAAACCCCTGCACCCACCCCGAGCTTCCATCCACCTCCCCCGATTCCGAGCTTCCATTCCATTCCCTCTCCCACCGACCTCGCTCCCCGTTCCACCCGTCCTCCAGGCGCGATCCCTCCGCGCCGGTGATCCCCGTGCGCGAGCGCCGCCGGAGCTCGGTGATCGTGAAGCGCCTCGGCGTGCCGAAGGTGCCGAACTCCTGGCGCTTGGGGGGGGGGGTTTTGCGGGAGGCAGCGGCAGCTAGTTGGGTGTTCTTGGGAGCGCTTTTTGGGGCATATCACGTTCGATATGGGTGTGTTCGACCCGGGAGACCCTGCAAAGACCTCGAAGGAACATAGACTAAAACATTGGATATTGATGTTCTTGAGCCGATGTCATGAGTTCGGCCCAAATGTAGGAACATATATTAAGTTGATGGCAAGATCTTGCACCGTAGTTTTAGCATATTGAAGCGATTTCAAGCAACTTATATAATCATAACCAACAAATTCCTTAGATGAAGACATATATAAATGGGTTGACATAATCCCCTCTCCCTAATAATAAACGGCCCCCCCCCTATTAATAAAAACCCTGTGGTGTTTTTACTAATAGGGGGTGTTTATTATTGAGGGGCACCTGTTGTACCCCCAAATGGGCAATGTTCTGTTCGCCCTAATAAAAAGTAGGGTCTCGAAAGAAAATCCCTGGGTTCCCAATCTAATTAATTATATAAAATCCTTGTTAAAACGACCATCAAAAAAACAACAAAGGGTCAAATCGAAGGTCTTCCCCCTCTTGTTGGTTTCCTAGACCAACTGTTGATGCACCCAATGAATGAAAACACATCGCTGCAAAGAGCAATGGATAGCGCAATCAGGAAAGCAAAATTAATTAGGAACATTGGCACAGACTCCTGCTTAGTATTAGGGGGCCACAAAACAGCAAGAATGGATCTTGGAAAGGAGGCAACATGGAAAAGGCATGGGTTCCAAATCTATATAAAATCCTTTATAAAACGACCATCAAAAAAGCTAAAAAGGGTCAAATCGAAGGTCTTCCCCCTGTTGTTGGTTTCCTAGACCAACTGTTGATGCACCCAATTAATGAGAGGGACAAAGAGGGACAGAGAGGGACAGAGAGGGAGAACCAGGGTCTCGCGGTCTCGCCGAAGAGAGAGAGGGAGAGAGGTATTTTTTGGGGAGGATTGGAGATGTTTTTAATATTAGGGGGAATTCGGGTTATTTTTGCTGTCCCCCTAATACACCTAAAATCTGGGGCACCCCCGACTGTGGACCCACGAGTATTGAATTTCAAAGGGAGCAATTTCAAAACGCTACTAACAATTTTTTGGGGTCGGGCACATGTGTTTTTATTAATTGGGGTACGTTTATTAATAGGAACTAGGGATTAATACATCCTGCAATTGCTTCACAGACACCTGTACAGCGAATGCCAATAATGCTATAATGCATTAATTAGTATATTAGTGCTCAGGATAATAGACCCTATCAAGTTTGGAGCCTTGACTCACTCGGAAAGCCTTGACTCACTGGTAATTCCGTAGAACTCGATCTGCTGAAAAGGGGATGGTTTTGAAAACCTGCAGGGCTAGGGACCACATACTGTATCCTTTTTGAGATTTTCCATGATTGATTTAGCGAGAGGGGCAGGGGAGCACTGAACCATGGCCAACTCATCACAGCATACATTTGGGGCAAACTGAAGCAAGCAAACTTTTGGGTGCAACGGCGTGAAAATGGGTTGAAGAGTGTGGAAAAATTGCGCATGGCCCCAGGCCAGGGTACTCGAAGGTACTCGATTTTTTTGAACAACAGTCATTTCCACATCAGAGAACAGGAAATCCCGGTCAACCTACTGATTGGGAGGGACCCTCCACCCTCCACCTGGGGATAAACCCCTTTTTGTGAACCCAAGTGGGTGTGGATTCGAATTGCCAGCCAATGGGTTTGGTCATCTATTCTTCTCTTGGGGGCTTCCCTGTATTCCTACACACCCGTGTCATCTCACTCCAGCACGTGCAGCTGCACCTGCTGGTGTCGTTTCGAGGAAGAACTCCTCCAGATCAACTCTGGAGTCGGCGGCGAGCAATGTCCTCACCAAGGTCGGCCGAGTGGTTCGGCCCTCCTGGGAGGGTCCGGAGTGGGTCGCCCAACTCCGGTGTCTTTGGGTCGTTTTTTCATCACAAAAGCCGAGAAAAAAACACACAGAAATCGCTTTGGAAAGCGAACAAAAAAAGAACATCAGATCGAGCTATGTCACTGATCGACCTTCTCTCATTCTTCGGAGTCGGTGTCGGTGACTCGGATAAGGAGAGTATATATCGACAGGTCACTGAGGTCACTAAAGATCAAAGGTATTGAGTTCAAGCAAAAGGACCATCAGTTGGCAACATGTCGCAACTTGTATGTTTATTTGTGGTTTGCTGGCCTCTATATTGACAGGTAACGTTACACATTTTAAGAATACGTTGATGTTCCAAGTGTGTTGTCGTTGTTGTTGATGATGTTGTTGCTGTTGCTGTTGGTGCTGTTGTTGTTGTTGTTGTGGTTGTTGGTTGTTGTTGTTGGTTGGTTGTTTTGTTTTGGTTTGGTTTGTTTGTGTAGTTTTGTCGTGTTAGTTAGTTAGTTAGTTTGTTTGTTTGTTTGTAATCAATCACACCCACCAGTTGGCAGGTTGCAGATGCGTGCCAGCCCTATTGCTGTGAAGAGATTGCAGCATGGCTTTTGGATGTGCGATCCTACTTGGCACATAGATGAGGCGTTTCAAGAATGGAGGATGTAGACATCACAAGAAGTATGTGAATGTCTAGTCTAATCTTGGCCCTAGGTTCTTCCACAACAAAATAACGTTATCGACAAAGATGTATATATACAATAACTAATATAAGTGAGTGCACATCTGTTAAATTGTTGTTGCAAACATTTTTGGTTGACCATTGGTTGTATGGGTTGATGCCCTCTTCCAGCGGTTGAATCTTGTCCGCTGCGCCATGCGCAAAGAGTGCGTAGATGGTGTCCACCATGAGCGCAGCGATGTGGCGTGAAAAAGGGATCCGGAACGACGGGGCGATCCGGCTGGCCAGCTTCCACAAATCGATCGGCCCTGTGATTCATGATGGTCCACTCCCCAGGGGAGATGGGAAGTGGACAAAGTGGGGGATGTCCACTCCCCATGTGTAGAGGACGTCGTTTTTAGAGTCGGGTCATGCCATCTATGAAGGTGTCAGAGATAGTGAGAGTGTTACTAATGAAGGCCGGAACACCTTCATGTTCAACATGTTGTTTTTTGTTTTCCTGTTCAACATGTAGGCCCAATCCCCCGGACCAGGTTTTCTTGGTGCTTGCAGCTCTGTCAATTAGAACATAATGGCACACTATCATACAGTTGATAGACCCAAACAAAAACCTACCAAACATTGTAAGTATATGTAAGTATCGTTCGGTCTTTGACTCTGATAGGCAGTGGAACATGTTCGCATTCCAGACAACATCCTTTTGGGTTCCTTGTTCGGGTCTCCAAGAGGAGGTCCCTTCGAAAACGGTTTAGACCCTGTGTTGGTCCCAAATAGCGTGACTGAGTCCCTTTTGAGGCCACGAGTGGATGTGCGGAGATTCTTGAAGGCCCGGTGTCGGTCGAGGGACTGACACTTAGGACACGTGCTTACGTTTTTTTGGAGGGAACGACTTAGTAGGCTTCACTCTGTGGAGTGGCTTTGCATGTTCTCGTTTGAAGGGCAAGAACTCCATGTTCAGAATAGAGTTGTCACTAGTTTTTTTGGGCGCTTTGGCTGAAAGTTTGTGTATAACTACCTGTATCTACAACTGTGACAATGCTTGAGGTTGGTTTAAGTATCCATTGGTGTAGGTCTCCACATATACAAGTGAAAGTAGATGGCCTGATAGATATACCAAGAAAGAGCCCGTTGTTCAACTACGGATTGGAGTATTTTGAGTATCCGTTATAGCACAGGTACGATCTTAACAGTTTTTTTTCTTTCCAGAGTGGAGAGTAAGATGAGTATCCAGGAGCACGATCCCATCAGTCAGCAGGGTCACTTTTTTGGGATCCAAGGTAAGAATCTGAAAGGACCAGATGTGTAAGATGGCATCACCAATTTTAGGGAAAACCATGGGAAACCATGTTGTTTCCCTAAAGGAATCGGAATCCTTATAGAAACACTTGAAAAGACTATGAAATTCGGAGTCATTGGATGAAATCATTGGGTGGTGCTGAACTTAGTATGTTCATCTATGTTCTGTTGGGGGTTCATAGACATGATCTTGCAAGGGCATGGTTCCAGTGGTCATGTTCATTTGTTTTGAAGAGTTCTACTCCCTTCATGTTTGGTCCAACATGGTCAGGGTTGCAAAGGGTACAAGGGCAGAACAACTGGCTTGGAATTTACTGAACTGTTCTCCCACCAATTGCCGGATCTGTGAACCCTTTTCTTGAAGACATGGAATGACAACCCCCAGATGTTGAGAACAGATGAACCCCCTGATGCCTGTTTTCATGACTCATTTCCATGTCCTTTTGCCCCCAGCGTTTTCTCTCGATCGTGTTTTTCCACACCCGAGACCTAGGTATCGCTCAAAAGACCCTCCTTCCTTCGGCCGACTCGGTCTGACCAGGCGGTGACGGCCTGCAATGTGCTGCCGGCGTGTGAAGAATGTGGTGCGGGAAGGAAGGGAGATGAAGGAAGTGAGTCGAGTCTAGGTGGAGAGAGTCTGCAGAAGTCTTGCAGCGCAGAAACAGTTGAGACACTGCACTCCCTTTTGGTGGTTGTGGCATGTCCAAGATGTGCAAACATGTGCATGTCCAGGTGGTCATCTACGATCTGCACGATGCAGACTTCGAGGAGTTAGAGCTACTGGGAGATGGCAGATCCGGATTCACGAAATCGGTTGGGGGAAGTACGACAGAATTTAAGTGAATCTCTGAATCTCTCTGGAAAAGGAGGTTTTCTGTGTAGGCACCGCTGCAATCTTGTGATGGCTCAGTCAAAGTCCCTGTCGCTTAATCACCCTATAGAGAATTTGCGTGGAGTTCATTCCCTGTTTGTAGAGGGACATGGTCTTCCTTTCGGGGCCATGCCATCCACGTAACCATGTTAGTTCCAGGGAGTGTAAATCAATACCAAGCACCGGGTGAGGCACAAACCAAGTGGGTCAAAGGCAGAGATTCTCTAATAGACAAAACTCTCGTCGTGGGAACTCCTGGCCGAGCCTATGAGAAACAGACGAAGCGAGCGAAGACGGCGATGCCACCAAAGATGTGGGGTGAAGCACCAAGCGAGGAACTGAATGAGGAACTGAAGCAAAGCAAGAGAACCAAGAGTGAAGATAAGAGTCAGAGTAGATGGCACATACTAAGACATAGTTAATAAAACTGGTTCTAGATGTGGTGACTTATGAAGCCATCAGACGAGGTGGCATCTACACGAAGTATGGGTGGCTGGTTGGGGTGTCCTGAAAATCAACAGCCAATCGCCTAAATGATACAATGATAGAGCCCTCCAAAACCATTATATATATAGGATTAATATGTCAACCTCTCTATATATAAGATATACTGTATGCGTTATTCATGACTTACCCTTTGGAATCAAGAAGTTCATTCGGATGGCCCAGAGAGCCATAGCGGAGTCTTCAGGTTATTGATCCGCATGCTGCAGGCACTGGTTATCCGTTGCGATGCGTTCTGAAATGGAATTACATAGATCAGCTATAGACAACAAAGACAAGTAAATCAAGTGTGACTTTCTCGTGGATATGTTTGCTTGGTGTAGACCATAGCTTCCACATGCATCCGCATGCGCCTTACTGAACATCACTGAACATCCCTTGTTTGGCAAGGTCCTCGTTTCTGGGATGTAGTCATTTGGAGGAGCCACTTGAAAACAGCAATGGCTGGAGAACCCCCAAGTGCTTTTGGGGTGTCAAACCTCATCGATGGCCCTAGGGCCCACGGGGATCAAGGTGTTTACGAGGAGTTGGAAGATCACACGACATTCTGACCATACACAACCAGAACCGCTGAAGATTAGTCATGTGGGAGAGTTTTCTTTTTTTCCTTGGCACTTCCGGGGACTTCGCAGGCAAGCAACAGGCTGATGGAATCTGGTCGAAGTGCTTTGGCACAAAAATCCTCTCACTTGTCAAAAGAGAAGTCTTGCCCTCCTTCCTTCCCGGAACTGCTGCGGGAACGCTACGACTGGTGTGCCTCCCTTGCCTAGCGGGGCCGGGACCTCCTTCTTTGTCAGAACATGGTCCGTCTTGGCTCGAGACATCACTGAAGACGCTGAGACATCACGGACGCAAAGATGGATATCCTGCCAGTATATGTGATCCCAAAAGAAGATACCAATAATATATATATATATATATATTAATGTAATACATATAATGTATAATCGAAGTAAGTTTGTGATTGTTTCCTTGCATTTAGGTACTTTGGTTATTCTTTGTGGGACTGCTTTGCCATGAAGCTTTGTAGCTTGTGTTTGTTGCCCATGGCTGTTGCAGCTGAGGCCAGGTGTCGGATTGCCCAGAACTATAGATGATTCCAGGACCACCAAAACCAATGAAACACACTCCGAATCCCTAGAAACCGACCTGTTTGTAAAGAGGACACTTTGGACAATGAAGTCTGCGCGAGTCCGCGTCCGTAGGTCTGAGACAGTGAGCTGGTGTGGATTCAGAATCAACTAGCAAAAGCTATATAATATAATATATATATATGTGGCAGGGACCTTTTGGTAACATTTCGTTGCGGATGAAAAGCACCGGCACATTTCTCACTAGCGCGCACAGGTCTCATTTGCCCATGCCACCACGCACAGGGGAAGGAGAAACCGGACGTCGCGGGTCCTTAGATCGGTTTCTCATTGTTTTTCATTGTTCAATTATTGCACATGTATATTGGGAAGCATGCGTTGCAACTAATGAATCAGCCAAAGCGTCGTCCACTGATCTCTGGCCTGTGTGAAAATTCTCCCAGTAGAACACTCCTGGCTTTGTGCCTTGGATACAAGCGCTGATGGCTGATGGTTCCCGAAGCCTAGAACGGTTGGCATGACGTTCAAAAGCTTGTTACGCTTTTCAAAAGAGTACGGCCGCTTTTGCGTTCAAGCCAGTCTGCGGCTTTCGATCTTGCGCCAGCTCAAGTTGTACGCCTTTTCCTCACAAAGGTACCGATTGAAAAATCTTTTCGATAACCATCAACCGGATTGATTCCCGCGCAGATATGAACATAGTGTTTGGTGAATTCAATTCATGAGTGGCTTCGTGCCAAAACAAATGAGGCTCCCAAAAGCCACGTGATCATACGGTTGAAAGAGTTAAAAGAATGTCTCCGTCATTTTCGCGTGCCAATCATCCTTGCGTCTTTGCAACGCGTCGAACCATCCTTTGGAAGGGACAGAGGCCTCCACCATTTCCTCAGCGTGCAACTCTGAAACGCCCAGGGCGCATTGATTGAATTGTTTGTCCATGTCGGGCCGCCAGAAATATGTTGATTTGAGCGTTAAACAAAAGTTCCTGCAACTCCGTAACTTGCCCGCAATTCTGCCAAATCTGAGACCCTGGCGTGCCATCTGGGCTTGAAGCCCCTGCCAGGTGGTGCGGATGTAAATGGTCTACGCAGGTAAACTGTAAAGAAAGAGCCACTCTTGCAAAGCAATACATGTTCTTTTTGGTGGCTAGAATCAGACTCTGCTCCACATGGATTGTGAAACTAACAAGCGCAAAACACAAGCCAGAGCACAAACCTATGTACGTTTTTGTTGAAGCATCAGCTTTCGTAAGCTCAACAAATCATATGTTTCTATGTTCGCTCGGCACCATAGTTCTAGTTTCTCTTTGGAGCGGCGTCCTACACCACCGGAGTATGGATTTCGTCGCCCGACTCACCTTTCTGCACCCGGAATACAATCCGACGGGTCACGAAAGCATTGTCTCCCCAACGACGCACTGGCCTTGCCACCGTGGACACCATATACATCGACGGGTCCCGTAGCTCCTGGATGGGGCAACCACATACCATGACTTACAAAAAAAGAATAAGCATGAATAGCACGTATATTGTTGATGCTTTGACAGTTTGCATGGCTTTTGAAGAGTTTGTTTGCTTTTGTTGTGTTTACTCTTCTTCACACTCCGCAGACCTTCGCAGGACAATGATACTTGGCTAAGATCCTTTATCTAAGCTTACTGTTCTGCTTCGACTCTTCACCTCCACCTCGCCAGATCCCCGATTCGACGAAGCGGGTGTCCTTGGACTTCTCAAGGGCAAACTCCAAGAGCTTTGCCGCATGCTGTGGCGGAAGGCCTGGGACATCGCAAACATCCGATGGTTAAAAACACAAAACAAACAATGCACTTCCAAGTCTGTCAAAAGAAGTCCTTCATCAAAAGGATTCTGATCAAAACCTTTCAACCAGCTCTCTGGAGAACATGTGAAAAAAGAAAAGTCTGATACCTTCTATACATCTCAAATATCATTACATCTGTGTCTTCATAACTCTACGCCGTTCCAGTGGCCTGTCACTGCGACGAGCGCTTCGTTTTGTACCGAAGGACCACCTTTTTGCACCTGGCTCCTCAGTGACGACCACATATCCATCCGACCGGGAAGATCGAAAGCGGACGTTCACAATCCACCGAAACATTGCTTTTGGTTCAAGGGGCGACCATCTGCATGGAAGTCTATCATAGAAATTAAGGGGGGGACCATCTGGATGGACGCTGTATTACAACTCACCGACTGCCCTCGACCAAAATCTAATCTCTGAGAATCAAATTGGATTAAAGTTCACAGGGTATGTTTCTTGAAGTGCTTCACTGTCAGTCTCTATGTTTCACTTCAGATCCCCACAGAAGCCGCTCCATGGTTATTGGATCAATGCCTTCCGGGCCTGAGCCACGAAAAGACAGTCGATCCGAGAAACTTTCCCATTCGTTTCCAGGAGACAACTGAAGAAGCCATGCCATGGTATGTGAAAAGTAAGGAACTAAGCAGTAAATTGATTTTAGTGTTTATGTGAGGAAAACACCTCTTGATATGGGTAGTGGCCCTGTCATCGACCGTCTCCCCACTCCTCACCTGAAGGTGCTGCATTTTGCAGACCTTTCGCAGCTCCTGTGCCAAGCTTTCCGCATTCAATCGGATCAAGGAAAACCTAATGCAGCCTATAGGCAAACCGACCTGGCGATGATCTGTGATTGGTAGATCACTTGTCAATGTGTCAACTTGTCAACGGCTAATGCGTTTGTGTCACTCATTCACTAATAGCCGAAGTGTCTCGCATCACGACAATCAAACATGATTCGAAAAAAACGGCGCGGAGCGCTTCGGCGTAATCCGCCTGGAGGAAGCTTCTCAGCGACCTGCAGCCATGAAGATTTCGTAAAGTTCCCTCATGACACATGTCGTGGCGTCGTTGCTGTGCTAACTGTTCTCAGAATGTGCACTGTGTAGTTTGTTCTGTCCTATTTCAATCCGTACCCTTGCGCACAGCTGAACGCTCAGCATGAGAGCCGGGCCTCTTCGGCTCGCGCAACACACTGCTTCTTTGCCGCAGCGCCGCGCTCACCTGTCATGCCGGTGGCGCATCTTTGGGTATGAATATGCCATATAATGTTCCGCTGTACCTTCTTGTCTACAACATATGATGTTTGATCAATATTCTTTCATCCTGGAATGGCCATTCATCGCGAAAAAGCAGATATCTTTCGCGGATCTTTCGCGACCTCATCGCGAAGCATGTTCCTCAAGAGAGGTTGGTTACTTAACATGTTTTGGGTGAGTCAGAGAGTCATGTATATTTATATATAGAGATACGGTGGGCGGAAGAAGAAATCCTGCACCACTTTGATACAGCCGTCATCCAAAGCTGACAGACCAGCAGCCCCACATCCCTATTCCAGGTCGTTGGGGTATGGGGGTGGGGTCAAGTTTGGTAGGCAGAACTTTATCGGCACATTCGTGAAACTTTCGCGGATCTTTCGCGAAAAATCATTAATGATTTCCCCATTGGCTCAAACTGGCTCAGCCAGGTGATTGCACTTTGGCTGTATTTGGCGCCATCTCTGTGGCTAGATTGCTTCAAGCACAAATGCCTCTGACAACTATACACATCTGTGATCTATGACACATAATACAGGAATCCCACAAACATACGCTACACTACACATTGACATCCCAAAACAAACTGAAACCAAGTAAAGTTCTACGTAGAAGCTTTTTATCCAGTGGGCCATAAAAGGAGAACCAATATTAAAACCAGAACCTTCGATAAATCTTTCGCGAAAAACATGTACTTTCGCGAACCTCATCGCGAAGCTTTCGCGGAGGGTTTTAACAACATCTAAGAGGCTGTTTTATATTAAACTCCTTACGCTGGGTTTTCGATCATCTCCCATATGGCTCACAACTACTTTTTGGACATGCCCGGAAGGACTCGATTCGCCGTCAAACCCGGGTATAGGCCTTCCACGGCAAGTCCATACCAATCTGCCATCCGCTTGGCGCGCCGCTCTCTGCGCGCCATGGCAAAGGGCCAAGGGGTGAAAAGCGGAGCAACCGTAAACATAGAACATTGCAGTCAACAATGAAACATCTGTCCTTTATTGCCTTTTGAACGGATGACTTTTGTGACATTGAAACCCATTGAAACCCACGACACTTCCGCGCACCCATGGGGAAAAAAGGAAAAACTATAGCCAACAGTTCACATCGACATGCATGGTGAAGCGTTTCGTTTAGTCTCTCGGTCTCTCGTCTATTGTTTTTCGTCTTAGTCAGTCAGAATACAGCAGCATATGAAAACTATTTAGCGCATTTAGCACATTAGTCTTTTGTTGTCTACCAGAAAAAACGTCCAGCCAGCAATCAAGTTTTGCGTATTAGCGCTGTGCACGTCCATCCTACACACATATGATATGGCACGCAGTGAAACCTAACTATAACTCCACCATCTGCAAGAAATATAGAAAAAGCTAAATTATCCTTTTTGTAACAAATACTATTTGTTGTCCCCGAAATTTTTCGAATCAGTCTACCATGTCAACACTACCTTAAAACAACAAATAGTAGTAATAGTAGTCGGGATGCGCTTAGCAATGAAAGGTGATGAACCAAAATAAATTGGAAAGAGAAATCACATCACCAGAAACAAAACCCATGCATGCCAGATGCACCACTTGTTAACTCACAACCCTGGTACGGGAAGAAAGGAGACCGGGACCAGCGCAGCAAACCAGCCGTGCAAGGGTGGCTCAAAGAAGAAACCTACCACCCCAAAATTTAACCAAAAAGGTCGCAACGAATGAAGACCCCTTCATAAAGGAGAGTGCGGGCGGATCAAAAAGAGAAAAGGACACAACAAAGCACTAAACCCGTGGCGGAAGATCCGCCAACAAACGTTGCCCTATTCCAAGAGCAACCCTACTTGGCTGAACTCATGACCAGTAGATCCAACCAACCGATTGAAACAAATCATTGCAAGCAAATCACCGTTTGTTGTACGCT